AAACAGCAGGTGCAGACGAGACGCATGTGACGCGTTTGGAAAGCGATAGCAAGACAGTGCTCCTGTCACTCAACAATTGCCACCCCCGGCGCGTCAAAAGCTCGTCGTCGCGTGCTGCGTGTGTCTTGTTCGTTCCTCCTTCCCGTCTTCCTTGACGCTTCCCACCACCGCATCCTCGACCCAAAGCTCGCCGCCGGAAATGTGGTAGATGCAGCTCCCTGCAACCAAGTGCAGCACTTTCCTGGTCCTGCCGGCCGAAACTGGATCTAGCTCGGCATTCGAAGAGCAAAAATCTTCATGGCGCCGTAGCCGATGTGCTGCTGAAGAGTCCGAGCAATAGTTCGCATTGGTCAAAATTTCTTGCATGCACGGGACTTGAGCTGTGAGAAGGCTTCTGCGCCGTCTAGCTGATTATGAGTCGCCTTGATCACGGCTACGTCTGATTGGAGCGCACAAATCCCCATTCAAGCGGTAGGTCATTGGGCAGCACGAAGAGCTCCAAGCTATCTTCTTCGCCTCAGCTCCAGGGCAGCCGTCTGATTGCTCATCCGCTCGAGCTGGTTGTGGCGATACAGCTCTCCTCTGACGGCAGCAGTGCACTCGCATTGCTTCTTCTTCCATGGTTCAATCGTGATTCTTGAACACAGCCACTACTTGATCACTTTCTCTCCAGCCCCGCCGCTGTTCCCAGCTGCCCCGCATTCAGTTACGTCTATCCGCAGTAGCAGCAACTTCAGCCCAGAGCTTCCTCGTCAACCCGCCGTAGTCACCACACCAGCCTCTACCGACACTGTAACCCTCTCCCCAAGCTGCGCAAGCTCCGGTAGAGCTTCTCTGTCCTAGCGCCCAGCTTTTTCGCGTGCCATTGCTTCGTTAGGAAGCTTCTGCCATTGATGCTTGCAGCCATGCCTCCCTCGCGCGCAGCACCGCTGACGAGCTCCTTCTCCGTCAGCGACGAGAACAATGTCGTTGTCTGCCCGCTGCGCAACCATGACAGCTCCGCCTGTCGCAAGCGCTGCACTGGCGTAAGTCCTCACCATCGTTCTTTCATGTTATGGCAAGCTTCCAGAGCTTCCAGAGCTTCCAGAGCTCCCAGGTGCAGACTAACACGCCATGCGTAGGAGAAGCGCTTTCGGTCCATGCAAGAGCACATCCGCCGTGCTCACCCGGAGCATTATATCTCCAAGTTACCGGCAACTGAGGTAAGCTTGTTCCTGCTCAAGACCGTGCAAACCTCTTGCTGACGCGGCATTCCCACTTGTAGGAGAGCTTCATGTTGATGGTGAACACACCACCACAAGAACGACCCCCACCTCCACCCGCAACGACCTCAGCAGCACCCCAGCAGACGTACGATTATGGCGGAAACGAACATAACTCCTTCTTCGAGACCGACTTCGGTACCAATAATATTCGTACATCGGATGAGATGCGACGGCCATCGCTCCTACCCGCTGCAACCGCTGCAGCTGCCCTGGCCTCGTTACACAACCATCGTGCCGAGTACGACTGGGACTCAGATCCGGTATGAAGCCGCTCTGCAGCTTCCCTGCATAAGACCGAGCTAACAACTGCTGTGAACAGGACGCAGCATCCGACCCGGACTCGAAGAACTACAGACCTCGCGCACGATTCGCTCCTACCACCATAGAGCAACACGTTAATGCCGAGGAACCTTACTATACTTCCAATTCTATACAACAAGAGTTGCTTCCTTCCTCCCTCGCCCGCTCGCCCCCCGGGCGCTCCTCAACACTGCCACCAGGTGTTCACTCTCTTAAACCGAACAGACCTCGCAAGTCATCTATAGGTCAGAATGCTCGTAGGGGAAAGCATGAGCGGCAGAAGTCAAAGGACTACTCCCGTAGGCTGAGCTACGACAGGAAAGCTTACTCAGCCGAGCCGGCAACAGCTGCGGCCATCATGGGTAAACGATGGGAAGACTTGATTGACGCTGCAGCTTCGGCCACAGAAGAGGATAGTCGAGATCTTACACCGGTTGGTATCACACTCTAGTATCCCATCTCGTCTAACATGAACAGGTCCCACAATCGCCAAATCAATCTCCTCACATGATGAACAACCGAACCTCTCTACCTCCCTTCAACTTTGCTTCACAACTTCAGTCATACACCGCATCACCATTGAACAACGCCTTGACGCCTCCGCCGCCTGATATGTCGGATCTCCAGCCTTTCCCTTCCGTGGAGTCGTCCATTGAATCAGCCATGTCCGGTCAAACTTTCCATATGCCCTCTCAGGGTCTATCTGATTCTTCTCCTAGCTCTCTTTTCCCTGTGCAAATATACTGCGCTGCATGTCGGAAACTTTCCATATTGCGCGATAGTTATGCATGTTCCGAATGCATCTGCGGCCTTTGTCAAGAGTGTGTCGATGTACTTGTCAGTGAGCACAACCGCGGACGGGTGCCGACATGTCCGCGATGTAGCACTATTGGAGCCAAGTTTAAACCCTTCCAGCTCGACATAAGATGAAGCAAGGTTAAATATGGCGTTTTGGGCATTACATCATAGTAAGGCGTTTGTTTTTGCGTACCCCAGACTTTCCCTTGGCCTTGTGCCTGTTTCCCGGCCCGTTTCCAATTATTGTTAGCTCCACGAGCCACATGGGCGTTCAAATATTTTGTTTTGGGAGGCTCATTACGGATAGACTGCTCGAAAAGCAAGTCGGAGTTTTGATTTGGTTGTTGTTACGAGGAGACCAATTAGATATTGTTCCCCCGTGTAGAGTTCGCAGAGATAGATTTACCTGCGAATGCAACCCCTGCGTGTACCTACGCCTCAAGCGTTTCTATCTTTGACACTCAGGTTTACTGTTGCACCAATCTCCCTTTCGGCGCACATTGTGCATCTGGTTCCGCCTTCATTCCGCACTCCTGTTAATACCGTCCTATGTGTCAGCATCAATAGTGCTTGTAAAGGCCTTCTCTGGGACCGATTCGGCACCAGTTCGGCAGGGGTAAGATGCGGTGAATGAACCACGGTTTGGTTGAAGACTCAGTGGACGTCAGAGGTGTCAGCCGGTGGAGCACTGGAGACTCCCGTCGTTGCCGGATGCAACACTACTCGAACCGACTGTTTACCACCTGATTCAAGTCCGAAGCGGTCTAGGTGGCCAGAACTCTTGATTGACAGGAACACGAGGTGGAGATTGCAAACCATCTCAACAGTTGAAACCGGGGAGTTTCCCATGTGGTGGAGGACGTTAAGTGTCTATTTTGGCAGTTGTCGCTGCAGGGGCAGGAACCATGTGGATAATTGGGTGAGAGAAAAGGCATTGGTTCCGGCAAGTAAACGGACGTGGCGCCGTCGTTACGATGCAAAGGGGGCCGCGGCGCGGAGCAATGGCCGACTTGTAAAGGCGACCGGATATGTTTCGTTCTGCCTACCTGCACAGAGTGCGCCGATACACCCCATCATCGATTGTTCGCTAGATCTGGGCTCGCGCTGATCCAGAGGGCTGGTGCGAGGGAGGGCGGGAGAAGGTTGCCCGGGTGAAAATGGGCTCGTGACACTTGTGGGAGGCTGGATGGAAACGTCTCATGACTGCCTCGACATTGTTTCCTGCTGTCAGCGACTTCGCCTGCGCCCGTTTTTGCCCACATACGCCAATCACAATAGCATAGATTCGTCGCAGCAGATTAAAGCCGGCAAAGCACATATGGCGGTGTAGTCCGTGATTGTCCGTTTTGGCCAGCGGGAAAAAAAAAGCCAAGCCTCTCTCCTTTTACCCCGCTGTGCAGCCAATCGCTTTACTTGACCGTAACAACATAACATGTCCTGCCGCTGTTCTAACGCCAGGTGTTTCCGGGTACTCATCGGCGCTGGGCATGGGATTGCGATTCCTTTGATCGGCGTTGCAGGAAGCTTGCTCGCAATCAGGGAAACCGTCATCGAAAAGCCCATAACGTCTTTCCCATATTAGCGAAAGCCAGCTGCCCGTCGCCCCACGGCACCCCGGGAATACCCAGCTGCCATGTGACTCCCTTGCTACTACGTAAATTGAGCCAGGAACAGACACAGTGTAATGGCGATCAGCAATAGCTAGCGCAGGGTCTGGCCTTGCATCGTCAACTAACGTACCCACATACCACGAATATGCCGGTCTAGACGCACGCTCGTTCTGTGGTTTGCATGGAACCCGTGGTTTGAAACTACTGCGCGTGTTTATTGATAGTTGGGTTGTTGCGGCTATGAGAGTCGCGCGTATTGGGTTAGCCTTAGGTGGCGCCCGGCCCCCTGACGTGGTGTGCTGGGGCTGTAGTCTGCATTGGGATTGCTGTTATGCGTTGGGTATGTGAGTGTGTGTGTGGTGGGGGAAAGGGTATTTAGAGTGGTCGTGTGCCTCGCCTTTGTTGGCGCATTTTCCGTTGGGATATTACTACCGTTTGTTTGTCCATATACCATCGTGGTTGCTTCCTTTTTGCCTGTCCATCGTAATAACCTACACTGGCTTACCTATCGACTGGATACATGCAAATACTCGGGTCTCGACATCACCACTACCATATCCCAACTACCTGACATACCAAACAACTGCGACCATCTATATCTTCACTCAAAATCATTACAAAAACTCACGACCATCACCCAAGATGCCTATCTTCCGTACCCTGACTACCAAGCTCAAAACCTCTCTGTCTTCCTCCCCGGATTCTTCACCAGAACAATCACCTACTTCACCCCAAGTTTCCTCCTTTGCAAAGATCAACGGACGTAAAGAAGCGAGTGTCAGCGGTGCCGTGAAGAGGCCTGAAGTGCAAGCTAGAGCCGACTCGTACATGACGCAATCGAGCAATGCAAGCAACGAGAGTGTAGAAGAAAAGAAACAGCGAAGGATGAGCCGATTCAGGGAAGAACTAGACTTTGAGGCTGAGGACTGAATGAGGATGTGAGAAAGTAACAAGGAGTGCGGTGTCATCAAATGTATGTTGCTGTCATTCATCTTCTCTGAGATATCATGCTAATCTCAAGTCAAGCTTATGCTGCTTCTGGGTCTGCTGTACCCTCTGCATTGCCATCGCTTTGGACTGGTGTGCCTGTCCTGCTCGCACTACCACTCTTGGGCGGACCTCTTGGCGGACCGCCAGCCTTCGGAGGCGGAGGGACACCACTGGTCTTCTTTGGTGCATAGTCTTGCTCTAGACTCTTCTGCTCGCCTTCTTTGAAGTAGTCGTCCAGGACACCACCACCGCCACCTGCGGGGCTAGCCACATGGTGCGCTCTGCCTTTCCTCTTTGGAGGCGGCATCGTGCCCTGAGGCGGTGGAGAGACCGACGGTAGCGCCATATTGGCTGGTACAAACAATTCAGCCGGTGCACCCTGGGGCTGAACAGCAGAGAAATCAGCGGTACCCGTCAAAGGGCGTTTCTCGTCGAACGAGGTAGCCCCACTAGCATCGCCCGTGGAGAAGAACGTCTCCCCAGGCGCTGGCGGCGGCTCGTCCAGCCCCGCTGGAATACGATGCAAAGCCCCAAAGCCCAGAACACAGCCCAACGCACCCTCACCGCCCCAGTTACGTGTAGGCGTGATGGTAACAGGTCGGGTGACGTTGTATTCATGGTTATACACGTATAGTCTCAACGGCCTGTTCATGAAGTCTTCAACAAGCTCACCCAAGCCTGATTCGCCGCGCACAAGCCCTTCGGGACTGCCGATGACGTAATCACCGTAGGGTAGCAACCCCGCGGCATCAGCGGGTGAATTGGGAGCTACGTCTAGGATGTGCCAGACGTCTTCTGCGATGGCAAGTGGGGACCATTGCAGGGAGATGCCTAGTGTAGGCTGGTTTGCGGGGATCTGTAGATAGACTTCCCGGATCTTTTGGCCCTGCAGAGGGTGTTAGACCCGTAAATATGAAATGAAATAACCATGTGAAATCAACTTTGAGGACTAGTCTGTGTCTTTGTTGTCGTGCAGTGAGAAAGTGGGCAATGCGTGATAACACGTATCATGGTACGCAGAAGGGGCAATCCAGACCTACCTTCGCACTGAATACGCCCAGACTAATTGTTGTGCCAGCACAGTTCCGTACCTCTGTCGCAAAGAGGCTTGGGTCGGGGTTATCCTGTTTGCAAAGTCAGTTCAACATTCTCCAATTCCACCTAGTTTCGGCCATCTCATGTTCGTCTTGCAACCTCTCACACCCATTTCGTAGTTTTCCTGACTCTCCAGCTCTTTCGTTTCCTGTGCTGCCGCCCTTGAATCAGACGGAATCATACATACAATAGTTCGCCCATTGATTCCAATGACAAAATCAAACCATGGCTCTAGAGGTACTTCTGGATTGGCATTTCTCAGCACCTGGAATCCGTATGCGCCATTGGTAGCAGACTGCTGCTCCTCGTTGAGGGGTGCAGCGTCTAATCGCGATATGAAGCGATTTAGCGCCCCGAACATAGACATTATGAGAGGCTGTGATATTGGTTTCCCCTCTAGAGAGTGATCATATGAAGATGACGGAAAAGAAGTTGTGGTGGTGGAGGTGTCGTTGTTGATGACTTGGAGGTTTTGGAAGGTGGCCATAGCTCAGGATCTGCGGCACGCTAGCGGGCGCTGCGCTGCAGTGAGTGCTTGTACAGGACGTGAGACGGGTTGCTATAGCTCAAAATCGAGTCAAAGATAAATTTTCCTGTTTGAACTGTCTGCAGTCAGTCAAATGTATACATTTCACGTCGTAAAGTAACCTGAATCTGAACAGGCAGTCGCATTGGTCAAGACTAACCCGAAATAGTAACGCGTATCAGGATTGCTCTCACCCATCTATACCGTTTGCTTGCTTTACTCGTCATCAACATATCTTCTAAACTGATCCTCGTCCTTTGTGTGATTGTGAGGAAATAACGACCTTTACGGGATTACACACTGCGCTCACTATAGTCATGAGTGAAAAACCGGATGAGAAAGGCGTGGACCAGTGGTCGCGTGTCGAGCAATTTCCTGAACATTTAAAGAAGTATGGCTCATCTTCTACCGAATTCGCGAAACCTAGCAGCTAATACTAGTAGGTACTGGCATCAACGGTTCAAGATCTGGGAAAAGTACGACCAAGGCATATGGATGACTGAAGACGCATGGTTCGGCGTGACTCCAGAACCCATTGCCAACAAGATCGCAGCCCACATCGCAGAGTCTGCGCCCAAGGATAAGACCGTTATTGTTGACGCGTTTGCGGGTGTCGGTGGTAATGCCATAGCATTAGCGCGTTCAGGTCGCTGGGAACGCGTCTTCGCCATCGAGAAAGACGCCAAGACCTTGAAGTGCGCAAAGCACAATGCTGAGATCTATGGTGTGAGCAATAAGATCTTTTGGCTCAACGCAGATTGCTTCACTGCCATTAACAGATTCTCTGGGCAGAGCAATGTTGTCGTGTTCGCTAGCCCGCCATGGGGAGGTTCGTGTAATCAGAGCACCGACATACGAAATATGCTGACCTACATAGGAACCGAATACGGTGCGGAAGATATCTTTGATCTTAGTAAGATGGAGCCATACAACCTGGAAACACTCTACAAGAGCTTTACGAAGATAAGCAAAGAAGTTGTTCTGTATCTGCCGAGAACGTCCGACCTTAATCAGATTGCGAGATATGGACAAGATGGGAAGAAGTTGGAGGTTGCTCATTATACTGTGATGGGTGCTAGTAAGGTATGTTATAGCTAGCCGCCATGAAGCTAGATTCTATACTGATGTTGCGCAGGCACTTTGTGTGTATTTTGGCAATTTTGACTTTGAGATGGAGCAGGAATCATAGTTAGGAGACGAGGGATACAACATGGTAGTCGTCAGTTTCGCCTGCCACAACTTCGCAGGGTCGAATTATTCCTCATCTTAGTCTATTTCGGGTATTACTTTCTCCAACCAAGCACACAAGTCTCGCAGCTCAGCCGCGCCCATGATATGACCCATTCCCTCATATTCTTTTACCGTTACCTTCTCTTTCTCGATACCAAGTTCATACAATCCTTCATAACACAAACGATGGTAACGCTTTGGCACCAATCGATCCCCAGTTCCCCTTGCCAGAAACACCTCCTTACTTTCACTTACATCCTTCGGTAACCCGGCTTGCTCTCTCAGCCTGGGTATCTGTGTTGCCAGAGGAAGGTATCCAGACAAACCGGCCAGTCCCCCAAGTTGCCCAGCGTACTTGGATATCAAGCCAGTTAGAAGCGCCATAGCATGACCCTGTGAGAATCCCCCTAGAATAATTCTTTCTGCAGGGACACCCTGTCTGACGAGATCATCAATCAATGTGCTGATATACGATACTGTTGCCATCATGCCGTCTTCGTCTTCGTCATCTTCGAGCTCAGGCCGCGACGGTGGATATGGAGAGAGGCGTGTGGGGAGATACCAGGCAGTAGTTGCTAGATCGTGGTTTTCTAGCGCATTGGGAATAACCCAAGACATATACGGTAGTTTGCCCGCAGACTGAAATTGGTTGGCGACGTTTGCTAGGCCTTCTGCTTCGTCACCGAGGCCATGGATAAAGACGAAGGCAGCTGACTTGGAGATGTCATCTGGTGGAGAAGTAGGCGCAAGTACGATAGGTGGTTTCCTCTCAGGCGCCATGTTTGGTTGCAAAGAAGCGACTTGCAGGTAAGTGTATGCAGTTAGCCTTGAGTGAATCGATCAAGTGGCTACTGTGCCTTGATGGTTAACTCTATGGGATTATATGCTACCAAGGTAGATAGTAGCCGAGGATAGCATGTTCTCAAATACAGCTTTGCACATGTCGGCTGACGTCGAACATGTTGATGACGAGACGGGAAGCAATCCAAGTAGTGTACGTACCCCGCACTGATCATGCAGGTACCGGCGTCTGGACTTTGGGCGCGTCGGCATGTGGATGCATAATTTCCACACCTCCGAAGTCTCCGCAACACGACCCTGCACATTCGACCATTCACGATGCCACACGTTGAGGTGCTCCCGAACTCGACGGCGACCGTCGCACCGGGATGGACGTATGTCGTCGACACGGGTTACGACCCCTCCAAGGTTGCCATCAACCCAAAGAACAAGAAGCGCGCAGCGGCAGCAACGCCAGGCGGTCAGCGCGCCGAGAATGAGCTATCTGCACGACAGCAGACGGCTATAGCGCGACGCATAGCAGAGCTAGAACGCGACAACGACCCCAAACAGCTTATCACGGTGCCTGGAAAGCCGAGCGTGCCCAAGACACAGAATGCAAGGAGGATCATACAGTATCAGCGGCAGATCAAGCATTGGCTCGACGACGAAGAGGCACAATTGGGACAAGCAACGACGACATCAAGAGGGAGTGTGTCTCAGCCCACAGGAGGAAGAGGAGCAACACAAGCGTCCCGAAGACAGAGCGCCTTCGCTTCCGTGCCCGCGACACCTGCGGAAGCCACCCCAGGACCCGCAGCCATAGCACAAACGCCATCACGACTCGAAGACGCGAATGCTGACGATGCGCTACTCTCCATCGACGACTCTATACCTGCACCAATCAACCCCGTCGAGCTTGAGGCACTGCTCGCCGCACCGCCGCTCTCGTATGCTGCAAGCCACGCAGCGCCTCCTCCAGCTGGCGGTCCACCGCAGAGACAGTTCTGCGATAACTGTGGATATTGGGGGCAGATCAAGTGTCGCAAGTGTGGCGCGCGCGTGTGTGGATTGGAGTGCAAAGACGCGCATGAGGCTACAAGGTGCTTGAAATGGGCATGAGAAGAGGCAGCAAATAAACATGGCATTGCGTGGCGCGAAGATGCCTTATGCTACCCCATACATTTTGAGAACAATCTGCGCAGCCTCCGTGCTCAGTATACGAATTCTTCTCTTACCAGCTTCTCGCTCAGCTTCCAAAGCTTCTCTGGATCTTCCGGGTTCTTCGCTGTCGGCTGCACCTCCTGTGGCGCCACGTTTCCATCGTTGAGGAAGGCACCGTTATAGTTATCCAGTCTTGTGTCGAAGGCAGCGACAACATGGGTAGCCGCACACTCATCGAGCGACTTGACGTCAAAACCACGCGCCCAGCCGATCGCTTTATCCTTGGCCGCTGTGTACTCGTCAGACAGTCATTTACGGTGATTTTCAACGTCTTCTACGTACCCACACTCTTCATGTCTTCATCATCGAACTTCTCAGCAAGAGATGTTCCCAACGCCACTCCCGGGTGCAGACTGTAAGCTCTCAGACCCTTTGAACCTAGTTTCTCGGCCAACGCATACGAAAACAATATATTCGCTGTCTTGCTCTGACCGTAGGCTTCCCACTGATCATACACCTTGCCATTCTGAAAATTTGCGTCTTCAAAACGAACGCCGCTGAAGCGATGGCCGTCGCTAGCCACATTGACAACTCTGGGTGCTTTGGAAGCAAGAAGCTTGGGCATGATGAGATTGGTGAAGAGGAAATGTCCGACGTGGTTGCATCCGAATTGGCTCTCGATGCCTTCAGCTGTGGTGCGGTAAGGGCCCGCCATCGTGCCTGCTGAATTGACGAGGACGTCGATGTTGGACTCTGGGTATGCTAAAACTTCTTTTGCGGCTTCGCGGATCTGCTTTTGTGAGGCAAGATCCAAGGCTAGAATACGCACTTCAACGTTGGCACTCGCTGGGTTGGACCCGATCTTGTCGGCTGTGACTTGGACTTTGGATGGCGAACGACCAGCGAGGATGAGAAGAGCGGGTTTGTGTTTTGCAACCTCCTCTACGAAAGTTGCTCCTAGGCCACCTTGCGTCACGCCGGTAGTAATAACAATCTTGCCAGCTATGTTGGATGCATTGTCCACTGCGATGGCCGAGGCAAGCGCATTCTGTCGATTGTATGGTAGTGGTGAAGCCATTTTCGTACGCAGTGAATGATATGTTGAAGAACTTCGTGCAGTCGTAGGTAGACAATTGGTATTGTAAACGCTGTTACTAGTATTTCTTTCACGCAAGGACACTTTCTTATATGTTCCAACAATCAGCAACCAGCCAAGAAATGCACATCCCTCCAAGTAAGAGCTAACGTCAATACAGACGAGGACACTTTTGATATGATCCTGTTTGAGCTTAACTCCGTCGTAGTTCCGCTTCTCCATTCAGGATCCGATTTTCGTCGGAACACGAATATTACAAACGAATTTCTTGAGTCCGTGTGATCATTTGAATTTTTCTGAAGCATCTTAATGTTAACAATCGAAAGATAAAACAATCACATGTGGCTAGCGCAAGAGTAGTCGTCATAGTCGTCAAGATACCTAAGCATTCCATCCCGACCCTACATCTCTGTATTCTTATAATACACACTCTCCTCTCGGTCCTTTAGTCCCAATAACACTGGAAACATTGTAAATGCAAACCCTGTCGCAACAGCAAAGTACACTACCACTGCTACACCCTCCAGACCCTGCTCTTTCTGAGCTTTTAGTCCGTCCTTCCAAACATCCCACACTGCAGAGGTAAAGACACGAAGTTAGTGAATGTCGCACATGCATTTCGTACAGGCATAACGTACCATATGCTGACATGCCTGCTACGAAGCTCGCTACAGCTAAGCTTATCAGTTCGTAAGGAGCTTCCACTAACGTTAGGGACGTCAGAGAGCTCTGCCATACAAGGCGCTCTCGGGCGTTATAGTACTGGACGCCATTGGAGAGCCATCTCCGAAAGGATCTCGCATCGCGGATGACGCCAACTTCGCGTTGTTGGATGAGGGTGAAGAATGTGGCGAGCAGGGAGAGCATAGTGCTAACGATGAAGCTTGCGCGTGCGACGAATATGGTCTCCTCTAGGGCAGGGAGGGAGAGTGCCTGAAGAGCTAAAGTTGCTAAGAGGGCGCCCTTGAAGTGTCCATATCAGCTTTCAGCACATTCAATGCTGAGCTGCTCACTCATGTGGTCTCCATGTCTTAGTTGAAAATAGGTATACATACCACCAACGTGACTAGCTTGAATTGCTTCAACTTCGCATCCCGCATCTCAAGTACCTGCTCGTCTTGTCCGTTGTTGATCAAATTCTCCAGCACTTCGAGGTCTTTGCAATCAAAAAGAAGCCATATACGCCACATGTACCGCGGCCCGTATCGCGCGCGTGCATATTCGTTGTCCACCCACCCTCGGAGAGGCTGGAAGCCATTAACAGCATATCGTGGTGCGAGGAGAACCCGTGCAGCCGTTCGTGCAGGGGTGCCTAATGCACTGAAAACCTCTGCTCCGGACATTCGACGGACGGAAGGAAAGACGAAGTGAACCCCAACATGCTGAATGTCGAGATTGCTACGCGGCGGTTTTATCTAAGTAGCTGGAGATTCGACAAGGGGTATCGGAACCGATCGATTTCTTGGGGAAGGCGTTGGCCCCCAGCGTCAACGTCCCGCAATTCTTCGTGTTGTTATTGGCCGCCAATGGCAACCTTGCACAGTATGATTCAAGGAAAGTCATAGAGCGAACGTGGGCGCCGAGTAATTACCCGTAGAGAGTGTTCACTGCTACACACACATTGCAACCTAGAGCGACGATGTCAACATCAGCTCATTAATCATAATGATCATACACTCACTAATACTGACTATGTCTCCGGCCTATGAGATCATCAGCCCGTAGACACGATAACGTTTTTAACATGATCTGAAGTTGTATATGGGAGGATGCATTGCGGAAACGATCTAGGGTATAACTACCAACACATGCGTTTATGGCTTGCTATACTGTCTCTTTCCCACTTTCGACACAGAGTACAGAAGTGACTATGCAGAGCCCGAAGCCTTTGCCTTTTCCTGTTCTTGGAGCTTTCTCCGTGCCGCCAAGATCATCTCTTCTCGCCGTCTTTGCAAGTTTGCTTGCCTTTCACTCTTATCTGCACTCCACGACTTTGTCTTCGGTTGCTCTTCCTGTACGGGCTGGTCGGCCTGACTAAGCTTCGAGGATAGATTGTATCGTGTTATCAGATCTGGATGCGCAGGTCTCGATGGGGCTGGGGCTGCTCGCGCCTGTGTAGGTGCAGTTCGTGGTGTAGGTGTAGGTATTTGGAAGGACGGCGGTGCCTAGACATATGTTAGCATACGTCGACAGCATCGGTAAAGCTCAGGTTGTGAGTCTTACTGTGTCCAAACCCCTCCCGCTCAGTGCCCTCTCTGTTGTCGCCGCGACATTACCACCGTTCCTTTGCAGATCCCATGCAATATCTCGTCTGCTCAACTGCGGCAGCATCTCAGCGACCTGGTCTATTTGCGCAGGACTTACGCGGACTGCAGCGCGGTTCGCCGCAGCTCGCGTGCCTGGGGCCGCCGCCGTGGGTTTCCTTAAGTACCATCGTACAGCGAGGAACGTGACGACGATGAAAACGATGACTTGGGGTACGTTGATGCTTTGCTCCGCCATGACTCCAGTCGCAGTATGAGTCGGGGCTCGTTGAGTCGATGCGCTGTGATTGCGAGTGTACCGAGGTGCGGCGTACGGTGCGTTTGTAAGAATCGAGACCTGCAAGCGGATACCCAAGCGGATACCCAAGCGGTGAATTTGTGAGGAGATTATGTTACAGACTGCTGGTTGAGTCGGACCTTGAGAGCAAACGCGACAACAATTGGACCCTCGTTATGCGCAATGTTCTGTCAAGTTGATGTGAAGTCGACGGTTTCGGACGAGCCTCGGCGAATCGTGAATCTCCGAAAGGGCTAGATGCAACCGCCCTTACCCCTTGTTGTCATTCACCTTGCGACCCACAAGTTCGCACCCGTCTTCTCCACACTCCGCCTGAACCCTTCTTTCATCTTGTCAATGCCGGCCATTGCCTAGGCGTACACTCGTTTCCGACGACGATTGCCTTAATATGTTATGACGTTTGCTTGCTTTGAGATACCCCCAATCACCACGTTGGATTATATGTACGCTACGCGCTTTGAGATACAATCATGAACAACCCAGTGATACCACGGAAACCGCTTCCAGAGCCGGCACAGGCATACTTCAATGATTCGGATCATTCGACTGCTACATTCGAGTCGCAGTGGGCAGCACCTTCACCTCCTGGTCAACAAACGAAAGATGCCAACACGGTCACCACCCTCCCACGTGAAGTTCCTTCACCTGACGATAAGCCCGTTTACTCAGGAAGGCGGTATGGACTTGGATGTGGTATCTTTGCTGGTATAAAAACAAGTACTTTTGGCTCGACACTCTCTCGTCACTTCAACAACTTTCTGCCACCACACCAAAGATACTTCAACAACTACATTAACCGCCGTACGCTACTCATCATGATCGGCATCACATTTGCTTCCGTTCTTGCTCTCATCATCGGTCTTGCAGCAGGCTTGTCTATCGGCTCCAAGTACGTTGTTGATGCTCTACCTATCTTCTACAGCCTCCACTAACCAGCTCCGTAGCAACAATGCTCTTCCCCCACCCAAGGGAGCCCAGACCACCGGCGAAATGACCTTCTACAACCCTGCGCTTGGTGCTTGTGGTACTAACCATGGTGACGGAGACGCTGTCATGGCCATCTCACACGTCATCTGTAAGCACTGACTTTTTCTCAACATATCTACAAGACATACACTGACATGGCATCTCAAAACCAGGGGACGAGAATCAGGTCGGCCCTAACCCAAACACCAATCCGCTATGTGGCAAGAAGATCCGAGCTCATCGCATTGATGAGAGGACCGGCAAGGACGCCAGCATTATGGTCACCATCGTCGACAGGTGTAAGTACTCCAGATGGCATAATCTATCTCACACCACATCATACTACTGTTGCTGATTCAATACAGGCGTTGGGTGTGATCGTAACAATATCGACGTCAGTCCCGCCATGTTCGCCAAGTTGGCTGATAAAGACAAGGGCAGGGTCAACGTGGAGTGGTCCTGGGCGTGAGCGTCGTGACTTCTCTGTCTGGACATGGTCGTGACTCAGGGTTGAGTCGACTGTGACACGTTACGACATTACATGGTACTCACCAATTCATGCGGCATATATATTGCTCTCCAATTTCACTGAGACTTTACTCTTCTTCTGCTCTTTGCTTGATACTTACATCCATTTACGTTGATAGTGACTTCCTTCGCCCCAACAAGTCATATTAATCAGAACACCACAGTGGCTTATGCCGTACTGCGCGTATATCTATGCCTACGAAGCTGCAGAGAGAACGTTCTTTCAAGTCTTCTGCAGGTGGGCGACGCTACGCCATAAGCAATCCCATCCCAGTCAATGAATCTACCTCACCTATCTCCGCTGAGTTTCCAGCTCCGGCCTCAAAGTTCGAATAGGAGCTACCGAGTACTCCTGAGACATTATATCCCAACATATTGCCTCTCAATTTCTCTGAAGGTAAGACATTCGATCAAGACAGGCATATCGGTAATGGTCTACCACAGCACAGTAGCGCTGGAAAAAGTCGAGGATAAAACAGACAAAAAGCGTAGTAAATACGTCAGCTCTGCATATTCTGAGTTAGTCTTTGGCGACAAGGATCTATGCAAAGACTCCTTCAGCGCTTTCAAACAAGGTTCCTACAACACTTTACCACGTACAGCCGCAAGTGAAACAAAAGACAACTCTGCTGGATTAGGGGTTATCGAAGTACCACTCAAATCTTCGGCGCTAGAAGGGTCTAGAGAAATGAATGAGAAGTCTCACAAGCAAAAGGTCTCCGATTTCAAACGAGACTCCACATGGTATTGTACGCTATGCTGGTTGACTATTCTAACCCTAGTTGTTGGTATCCTGGCAGCGTTGAGTCATGCAAAGTCCGCTAGCCTAGAGAAAGAGGTCAAGGGGATGAGGGCAAGCAAAACGCTTAATTTATCGTCAGTGTTGCCATCAATGGAATCGTCAGCCCTGAGGAGAGCCACAAGTATCGAGCCACAATTGGAGAGCAACTCAGTAAGCGTCATACTTTTGACATCTTTTCTCGAGACTAGCGAAACTCCTATCCCAAGTCCTACTCCTACATCCACACTTAAGCCCAGTTCAGTACGGCCATCACGTTCGAGCGCCAGCAGTTCTCTACAAATCTCCTCCTTCTTGCAAACTGCGGATATAGATGGTAACCTTGCCCGACGGAGTGGCTACCGAGTTCGACATGAGGATGCTCCCCCTGGTGATATTTTGACTCTACACTCGGATTTGGATCGAAGGGAAGACTCAGGGGACTGCGAAGATACTACAACTACTACAACCACAACCTTAACAACTACGATTACGAGTACCCTTCGGGCATCTGAGCCAGTGGTGTCAAGTGCTAGGAGCAACTTTGCTTCCTCACAGCTGCTAGAACCCAAACCAACGAAAGCTGGTTCAGATTGTATGACAAATACAGTTATTTGTACTGCTAGTTTGTTGACTTCTGTACTTTCCTATGAGATGAACTTTCCAAGTACGATAACGTCATCTGCCACCGTAGACTCGACGCTCAGTCCAGACATGACGCCTTCGCCTACTACATCTCCAGCTGTCGAAACCCTACGGGAAGATACTACTGTTATCTCAGCTTCCTCCAGTGCGATAGCGAGACGGCTAGTAGCACCACTTGCATGGAAGAACCTACACAACCTCCGACGCTTCTTACCCTTGATCAGCGAATACGAATACGAAACGCAGCAGACTCGACATCTAGTTCCTTCTATCACAGTACGTCCGACTACAACCACAACACATCCCGCTCAAAATAACAATGCTGGTACTATAGCACAGCTTATTGGTATAGTGAGTAGCAATGCCGCCGCTCGTCGACAAGCTTTGCATTGAATAGGAACGGGTGAATCAACTTCCGCATTACCCTCGAAAACTCACGAGCGTCGTCAATTGCCTTCCCGATCACGTTCCCCACTAGATTTGGCTATTGGCACAATGAGTGGGGGACCCTTGGTGAGACTTCCTAGCAGTGTACCACCAACATCTAGTGGAAAGCCCACTATATGTACAGCTGCCAAATCTAAAACATCCAGTAGCGGGACTGTCTCCTCAATCCCAAGCATCTCGCTGCAACAGAACGCCTTGGCAAATACAAATCCTGGTTCTGCTATCTCCCCGACCGCACCAGTTTCTACGTCCGTTAGAACCTTACTCGTAAGTTCCACCAGTATGTTATACCCAGTCTCCGTCTCACCTAGCCCACTGAAACCTGGAGTCCCGCCAACCTCAGCAACTGTAACACCCGGTTCTAAAATCGGAGTTCTGCCTGAACACCCCTCTCTAACCCCACCCTCAGGATAGACCATTTCCATGCTTACCTACAGTAGTCAAGCCGCCAGTTACACCAGCCTGCGTACTATGCCCAGCAATGCGGCCGGAACACCACCAGTCTATACAGGTCCGCATCTGGCCAAAGACTGGTCTAATCTCTTCCCTTTCCCCATTCCTACAGGCTACGTAGCTCCCAACATTGTCTCTGCGGACCCCCAAATTGGACAGTTGACTTACTTCAACCCTGGTCTAGGAGCATGCGGATCCTCCAGCATGACGTCAAATGAGCTCGCTGTCGCAATAAGCTGGGAGCTGTTTGACATGGGACGAGAGATCGGAGGGTCATCTTTGGAAGAGAGATGGAAGTCAGATGGGGTGAACCCGGATGGGAAACTCGGGGATTCTATTGATCGGAGCTCAAGTGCGCTGTGTAACCAAGGAATCAGAGCATGGATAGGCGACGAGAGCGGAGAAAGGCTTGTGGAACAGGAATTTGTGGTGAGAGATCGTTGCGAAGGGTGTAACGTGTCGGATCTGGATATTCAGCCGGATATATATTCTAAGCATCGGGATGGGCTGGGCAACGGAAGGATTCAAGTTACGTGGGAGTGGGTGCAAGAAGCGCCTACTGGCGTGCCAGCCCAGATCAGTGACTATCTGTTATCCCAGTATAGGGTATTCGGTACTGATCGTGTTATGTGTCGTACTTGTTTGCTTTGTTTCAACGAGTAAGGTTATAAATACCGTGACCAGACATGCCAACATGTAGAATCCGCTCACTGGGGATTCTCTCCGCTGTTACCCCAATGCTTCGCGATAATCCCACTAGGCAGCACACCCTGATTGTTCTTCATCGCATAAACCTTCAATGGCCCACCTTTGTCGTCATACACTAATACCGCTGCTTTCCCTTGTACAAGGGCGACGGCATCCCGCAATTCCGCAAGCAAACTCACCATCTTGCGCAACCTATCTTGATTGGCCTCCTCCCATCGGGGGAAACCAGACTTAGCATGGCTGATGCTAATTGAGTGTACCTCGCCTTTGTTATGGTTGCCATTCATGAAATAGGGCGTGCGGCCAAACCAAAGCTGCGGTAGTGCTTCATTAAGACGTGCGAACTTTTTAGCTTTAATTTCAGCAAGCTTCGAAGGATCGACGGAAACCCCTTTCTCGACAACTCTAGTAGACTTATCGGCAGGAGCTTTCCTACTCTTGGATTGGGTTGGCGGCAGGGTTGCCATGTCCAATTGCGCCATAGCAGCGGTAATAGTGTCAACGGATTCTTTGGAAGGACGTGTAGGCTCTGGACTATGGGTGGTGTCCGGATCTTCATAATATGCGTCAACTTCGAATCGAACGACACAGTTCAGAGGGCCAATGTGGTACCGGATGACCCTATGATGACTACTGGAGTTTCCCATCCCATGATCAGGCTTTGTAAACGTCTTCTCGAAATTATGTCCATAGCCTGCGTTGGATGCGCCGTGGATCATTTGCTGAGCATTCCTCTCTTTGCGACTGATTACAAGTGTTTTGTCGATCATATGTAAACCCATACAGAACGCATCCAGCTTCTTCCCAGCTGAGAAGTCGAGAAGTTTGCGCAAACTGTTGCGGTTGACAATGATGTCGACTTCATCTAGTAGGGCATTCGGTTTCATAACAGCAAGGGCGGCGAAGGCAGGCTCAAAAGGAAACTTGGGCACGCGAGAAGCGTTTTGATCGATGAATTGTCGCCCGATATCCTGAGTCAGAGTGGTCGGTAAAGCAGGAGGGCTCCATCTGGGAGGCGCGCCAGGAACGTAGATTGCTCCATCGTTCTGCCAATTATAACTGCACAAGGTCTCGAAGCCACCCTCGGAAGATACCTGGATACTGTCTGGCTCCAACGATTTTGCTTCTATTGTTCGCAGAGGCGACCCGGTAGTGTCCCGAAACATCCATGATGTTTTCCAAGAAGGCGCCTTAGGTAAGGGACGTGTTCGTTGGGTTGACGTTGAATTCGGCGAGACTTCTTCGCCTTGAGTCGATTGCGGAAGTGCTGACTTGACTGACGATGTTACCAATGGCGATGTCGTCAGTGGTGTCGTCTCTATCGAAGGGGTCTTTACGGTTGCAGTTCCTGCTTCTCTTCTTGCCTGTGCGCTACGAGTGAAGTCAGCTTGAGTTCATGGAGTATGGTAATGTCTACTTACGCCTGTGTGGAACGCGGCTTACGTTTCTTCGGCTGGAGAGCATTGTCACTGTTAGAAACAACAGGTTCTGCTGTTACAGGCCGAGGCACGTTATTCGCACCCAGCATATTGGCTTGATGGTTTATGCTCAATACGCTTGATGCTACAGGGATCGCTGCTGCTGCTTTCTTATCATCACGATGGCTGGATTCTTATTAGATATCCGTACACATATACACAATTGTCGCCGTCGACGCAATACCTACCGCGTACCGTTACGCCGGCTTTTCTTCGTTGCGGTAACCTCGGGAACTGACTTCGCGTTCTTGGATTTTCCTGGTGTTCTGGTAGCATCGTCCATGTTTGATCTGGCAACATGTTGCTGAAGCAGAGGCTGCGACATGTTCTGGGTTGTTCGTTGTCCTGTCACGAGCTTATGCGGCAGCTGAAGAGCATAGAAGAGCGGGGCATGCAGTTGATGCGCATATCAGTTGAGCCAACAATATCAGGCAATGCTTGTACAGCCTGACATGTAGATTGCCAAGACTATTCGGATTGGCTGAGTGAAAGTGAAGAAGGCGCACGTAGCATGTCGGATCCAAACATGGGAAAACCAAGATTAGCCCACACGTCGGAAGCACAGTTCGACTTGCGTGTCAGCGAACCAATGCACATGTGGAATATGCAACCAAATTTCACTGGAGGCGACGAAACCTAGTGGGAGAGTGTACCAGTGGTGTTCGTGATGAGAGATGCAGGTCTCACGTGCGCAGGCGATGATGATTAGCAGGGCCTGGACTGATACGGCGGTTACGCGTCATGTCTCTCGGCTTAGAAGCATCCTTCAACTCCCCGGGTTGCATACGACCACCCGACGGCTTCATGCTTTACTTTTACACTTCTTGCCCTCCCATAGTACTTGTAATGTCTAGTTAATTTCCACACACGTCTCTTCGCTGCCCGTTTTCATATGCTTGGCAAACATCCTTCGCCGCAGCGTTAGGCGCTCCCTATCCAATGTCGACCGTCTTCGCCTCCCTTGTGCGGCCGCCTAAGTTGCGACGCGCCTCCACAAACACGCAGCCCGCGATCCAGCCTCCGCCTTCGATCGATAGCCATGGCCTCGATGAGCCTGATCTTCGCGACCTCAATGCCGCCCTGCAAGCGCTCACGGACATCTTCCCAGACATCCAACCTGAGGTCTTTCGAGAGATGCTGTCTACCTTTAGTGAAGAGAGCAGGCTACAGGTAGTTACCGAAACTCTTCTGAAGCATGGCGACAAATATGTGCGAGGGCGGTACAGGATGCCAGCCGAGCAGGAAGAGCAGCGGGAGACGGCGCAAAAATACAAATATCGGAAAGAAGATGCTCCAAAGGACACCCGAGGCATACCGCTTGCGGTAGAAGACAAGTTCCGGTCACGAAGATACAAGGACGCTGCCAAAGAAGCACTATACCAGGAATTCAAAGGCCTGAGCCACTCGACTATCAAGGCTGTCCTAGCCGAGTATAATTACAGCTATACACATGCACGACCCACGCTGCTGGAACTTTCGACTAGGAGTTGGAGGTCCAGTATTACCAACTTTTTAATGCGACGGAAGGCGCCGACCGCGAATGACCATCCGTTGGTCATATGGACTCCCGCCGACGAGAGGCTGAACCGCCCACCCATGCCACTTCTTGTAAAGACAAGGAGCGACGAATTGAACCAGGAGCTTTATAATGCTCTCATAGTGCCGGAACATGAGAAGCACCAGAAAGCGCAATTACGGCAGGATTTCGACTTGGCCATGCAATGGAACGAAGAGGAGGCTGAGCGAGAGGGCGAGATGTACGATTGCGAATGCTGCTTTATTCCCAATACGCTCCAGCAAATGTCGACATGTGACATCGACGGCCACTACATCTGCTTCCGTTGCATAAGACATGCCATCAACGCTGCACTCTACGATCAGGGCTGGGCGCGCAACATCAACACTGATCTGTGTACCCTGAAATGCATAGCGCCCATGACAAGTGGATCCGAAGAGTGCCATGGCTGCATTCCCCTCAGCTTTGTCAGACGCGCGCTCTTGGAAGAGCAAGATGGAAAGGATAACCTCACCAAACTCAACGAGCGCTTCGCTAGCGATGCGCTTACGAGATCTCAGCTTCCACTTGTGCAATGTCCTTTCTGCTCGTACGCTGAGTTGGATGACCTTGCTCTTCCAGATACCAATCTCTTCGCCAGCCTCCGTTTCAAACCTCGCCCACTTGTACTTGCGTCCTTAGCATCCGTCCCCTTATTTGAATTGCTCTGTTTCCAAGCTACACGGGCTATTCTTTTCGCCCTCATACTCATCTATACCTTCGTCACCATTACATTTCGCTTGCCTGTCATCGCACCCTTCCGATCCGCCCTTAGACGTGTCCACCTAAAGCGTCGTGGTCTTCGATTTCAATGTCTCTCTCCGAGCTGCGGCCGTGCATCCTGCCTCTCGTGTAGCCTTCCCTGGCACGACCCTCACACATGTTTTTCCTCCCAGCTCACATCTCTTCGTCTCACACTCGAACGCGCTACCACAGACGCCGTAAAACGCACCTGTCCTCAGTGCAACCTAGGCTTCGTCAAGTCTGAAGGCTGTAACAAGCTTGTCTGTCTGTGCGGGTATAGCATGTGCTACATCTGCCGACAAGGTCTTGCGAATGAGGGATATCAACACTTTTGCGGACATTTTCGTGAGAGACCTGGGCAGCCTTGCGGTGAGTGCAACAAATGTGATCTGTACCGTGTCGAGGATGAGGAGAGAGTTGTCAAGAGAGCGAAAGATAGGGCCGAGGCAGAGTGGTGGGAAGCGCAGGGCGAAGGTGCGAAAGAAGGGTTACAAAAAGAAGTTGATAAGAACGAGGGCCACGTGGTGAAGGGGGTAGCAGGTCTAAAGAGGGGAAGTTGGGAGGGTTGGATCGAAGGGTTGCTGGATAGTGTCCTTGTCTAATCGTCTGTTCACTTGGCGTTTGGATATGGCAATAGATTGTCGAGGGAAAATCGATACCCAAACTTTTGATCGTACAGCATCACTTGCAGATGCTACCCTTAGTCATAACTCTATTATTCAGTGTTGGTGGCAATTTCCAAGGCAGGGTTTCATACGGAAATGTTTTAGTCGTGAAAACAATTATTGACTCTCGTGACCCAAAGATGCGTTATGTCTTCTATGCCGGCCATGATGGGCCGTAGAAGTTCAACAATGGGGAAAGCGATCAAGGTAAACACGTTCTTGCATAGCATCCCGGTCGACAGTGCGTATTTCCGAGCATTCTTCATTACCTTTTGCAGTTACTAAGCATACAGTTGCCCACAACGTTGACTACCCCTCCTCAGGGTCCAACACACCACCTTCCTAACCCCACCTAGCGCCCGGCAAGCGAATGGACAACGTTATCAACCACATTCCTATCTCCACTGACATCATCATGTCTACACATTATCAATCTGCTATCGCACACTGCACTCTTGGCTGTTCTTCGGAAAGAAAGATCTCACTATGCCCGCTTCGATGAAGGTCACAGATCTGGGGTCTTTGGCGCGTTCATCGGGTTGCCCAGACAGGGGTCATGATAAGGGATGCTGGTCGGAAGAACGATGTTTGGCTCGAGTTAACAAAGTGGGAGTGATCTTCGATAAATATGCCTCGATAGGTAATGCTACATGCCGGCTGCGAGGTCGGCATGCGTGTGAGAGGTGACACGGCAATACAAATGCCGGAATGGTAAGGCTTTAGAACGGTGGTATATATCATATTGCCTCGCGTTATACATAGCCGGCGGTCCAGGAAACTTCTACTATCCATCTTTGTTCCCGACCCGGCAAAATGAGCGTTCTGGAGAAAGAGGTAGTTCACGAATCGAAGTCTGGCAACACTTCTCCATCGCCACCGCATTCAGACATTGAAATTGGTGTGGTCGAGGAGCCATCCAAGAACGGTGACGAAGCGCTTAAGTTCCTCAAATCGGCACACGATGTGGGAGTTCTCACGCCTGAGGATGAGCGGAGGCTTGTGCGAAAGATTGACTGGATGATCATGCCGTTGATGTGGTGCTGCTACTGTTTACAGTATTTGGACAAAACACTTGGTATGTTAGCTCTACAATCTTGCGTCGTCTGTGTTCAATCAAACGTACTGACGGGTTCCCACTAGTAAACTACGCTGCGGTGATGGGTCTATACGAGGATGCAAACATAAGCACGTCGCAGTTTTCGAATCTCGCACTCTTCTTCTATGTATCATATCTCGCACTCGAATTCCCACATGGCTACGGCATGCAGCGCCTCCCTACAGCAAAATACCTTGGCGCAGCCGTCATTCTCTGGGGTCTCGTCACTGCACTCACATGTGTGTGCAAGAACTATGGCGCTCTAGTAGCTACGCGCGTTCTGTTAGGCTGCTTCGAATCGGCTGTTGCCCCCAGTCTAATCTTAATAACTTCCATGTGGTACAAAAAGAATGAACAACCTCTCCGCACCGGTAAGTTGCACGTGTACGAGATGCATGTAAAGGTATATACTGATTTTGTCTTCTCTAGGCATCTGGTACCTCGGTGTCGGGACAGGAACAATGATCGGAAGCTTGATCAGTTTCGGGTTCCAGCACTACGACAGTGACACCTTTACTAGTTGGCAGATCATGTTTCTCGTAGTAGGTCTAATCACTGTTACTGTTGGTATCACTGGTATGTGAGCTCCTCATTTTCGACATTGATACAACACTAATTCACACAGTGGTGTTGTTACTTCCCGATAACCCCATGAGTTCCCGCCTCACCCCAGCGGAGAAGGTATGGGCTATCGAACGTCTTCGCGAGAACCAAACTGGTATAGAGAACACGCACTTCAAGTTCCACCAAGTCATCGATTGTTTCAAAGACCCGCAGACGTGGATGCTATCGATCATCACGATATCGTCTAATGTACCTAACGGTGCAGTGTCTTCCTACCAAGCCACGCTCATCAAGTCATTTGGCTTCAACCCCAAGACCACAGCATTACTGCAGTTGCCATCCGGTGCTGTTAGTATCATCTCAATTCTCATCGCCACATATCTCGCCGGCCGCTTTAACCAACGCGCACTAAACGTCGTTTCTTTGCTGGTACCCGGCGCGCTCGGTGGATGCCTCATGGCCTTCCTCCCGGGAGAATCTAAAGCCGGAAAACTCATTGGAAACTACCTTACCAACTGCATTGGCGCCAGCTTACCGCTCCTCTACTCCTGGGTCTCAGCCAATATTGCCGGTCACACAAAGAAGGTCACCATGAACGCCATATTGCTTATGTCATTCTGTCTGGGAAATATCATCGGCCCACTGACCTTCCGGCAAGACGACGCACCAGATTTTGTACCAGCAAAGATTACTATCGTTGTTACTTGTGCGTTCGCTGCGGCTATGGCATTGGTACTGAGAGCGTATTACATGTGGGAGAACAAGAAGAGAGACAAGGAGGATGACGGTAGACACGTGGAGAATGAGGAATTCCTCGATTTGACAGATCGCGAGAATAGACGGTTCAGGTACAAGTTATAGGACAACGCCTATGTACGTAGCATCTCGAAATTTGACACTTCATCTCGTAAGACATATATGATTGTTCTATTCAAGGTTGTCTGCTTCGTATGACTAGTACCGCACTAAAGTTTAACGGCTCTCGCGTACTAGAAAGTCCTCGACATCATCTAAGGTAGTTCTGATAGCGCAGCCAGGCTACTCAACCCAAACGCCTTTTGTTTTTGGCACAATATGTCCAGATTGATTAGGAAGATCCGATTCACGATTTATGAAATGCATAATGTTTGTAACTTCATTATCGCTAAATATATATCAAAAGGTTCTCTCGAGACTATGGCGTGCCAGCACCACCCCTCAATTCGGCGATGATAATATCTGCCGCCTTCTCACCAATAACTAGTGCCGTATTGTTAGTGTTTCCACCAACGTTCTCTGGAGGAATGCTCAGGTCCGCAATCTTCAAGCCCTTGACACCATGCACGTTCAGAGATCCATCGACGACACCGTCCTTTTCTCTTGGTGCCATCTTGCATGTGCCGAGAGAGTGCCATGTGGTATTGACATTCTCACGTAGCCATTGTTCAATAGCAGCATCGTCTTCTTTGCTGTAGACAAGGTCTTTGACATCCTCCAGAGGACCACTGACATCCTCCTGTATTGCAACAGCGGAATCAGAGGCAAACTTCGGATGACCCGCAGCCAGCTCTCCGCGATAGAACTTCGTCCGTCGCAAGATCTCACGCTGCTTCTTGTACGCCCAAATTTGCTTCTTGAGATCAATATCATCCTTGTCGTTGAAGAAACCAACGTCGAAGTCGAGTGCGTCGTCGTGTTTGGGACCAGTGATGTGCATGTGTCCTCGCGAGTAGGGGTACGCGGTGTAATTACCTGCTGTGACGTACTGGCCTGCTGGTATGCTCGCTGGATCCCCTAGGAAGCATGATACTAGACCACACAACATTAATGGACGGTTGGGCGCATCCTTGAAGTCACGTTTCCATGCTTCTTGGAACTCTGGTCCGAGAGATGTAACTTCGTCTTCGGTAGGGCGAAGCTTGGAAGATATGTCAATGCCATTCCAGCCTAGCATGGGATCTTTGTTCTTCATCATCTCAGCGACGTCGGCGCGGCCGCTCAAAATACCATCGATGGTTTGATCAGGCGCAAGAGCAGTCTTGTACGGGTATAGGAGGAGGTGATGGTCTTGGTAGTCCTTTCCTACGCCCGGTAATTCCTCCACGAGTGGAACACCAGCACGTTCGAGAACTTCCTTTGCGCCCACACCAGATCTTTCGAGGACAGGCGGCGTGCCGCACGCACCACATGTAACGACAACCAACTTGCGGGCGCGAACCTGCTTGACAGGGTGCATGCTTAAGCCAATGGTGGCTTGGAACTCGGGGTTTGGTGTATATTCAACGCCAGTCGCACGTTTGTTGTCGTCAAAAAGTACGCGTACCACTTTTGATTCAACAAGGACATGAAGGTTGGAATACCGTTCATCCTCCAACTTCGGGTGGAGGTATGTGTGTGCAGTGTCCTGACGTTTGCCTTCGGGGGAGACGTAGCGTTGCCATCGCGCAATGCCATTGTTATTGTCCAAGTTCTGCAAGTCGTCGATCTCGGAGTAGCCGGCCTTCTCAGCTGCGCTTATGAAGTCGTCTTCCGCGGCTTTTGCGCGGTAGCCTCCGTCTGAGACATGGATGGGCCCACTGTGACCGTGATGCTCTTTGGCTCCTGGCCCATGATAGGTTTCTAGCTTTTTTAAATGCGGCCACATCTCTTCAGCCGACCAACCAGGTGTGTTCCAGCTATCAAAGTCTGATCTTTGTGCTCGTGTGTACATCATGAAGTTGATGGAACTACCACCGCCTAGCGTACCGCCAGATGGCACGATAGGCTCACGATCAGCAAGTTGCTTAGACTTATTTCCTTTGTAAAAGAGAGCAGTCTTCGTGGTAGGTAGCAAGTTCTGTAGGTAGAAGACGGGGTTGACGACGCTGGCGACATCTTTGTTGTTTGCGCCACCTTCAATCACGAGAATAGAAAGAGATGGGTCATCTTCAGCGAGTCGACCGGCTATAATGCATCCTGCTGTCCCACCTATGGAAAAGAAAGTTAGTGAGGGAATGATTGAGCATAAAGAACATCGTACCTCCGGCTATGATAATATCTACTTCATCAATGTCATCCGCGAGTTTGTTGTAGATACCCATGACGGAAGGTGTTTATGACTTGAAAAACCTTTGGAGAATTGCTCAATATCAGGAGACGGAACGATTGCAGAGAGTGAATCTGGAGGGCCCTACAGGGTGTTTAAATAAACCTTTAGTGTTCTGTTGCCCCTTGACGTTAGACTTCGGCCCCTTGGAGGCCTATCACACGTGGCTTTACTGGATGCCTATAAGCCTTTCAGGAACACGAGTACCCCACTACCCCATCTTCTGCTCTTTTCGGCTTGGCGTCGGTTTTGCGAGCGGGCCTTTTCCGCGATCTAGATGGTGATACAAGAGCCTAGGGAGACGCCACGAGCTGTTTAGCACCAACGTCAACTAAATGATCTACCATGCCACCCACTCACGACAGCCTTTCGTGTTTGCGCTATTGAGGATAGTAGTGCAAATAGCACATCAGCTGTCCTTCCCCGCATTGTGGCCCCTACCCAAGGTCGATCATTTGCGCTTGTCCGAGAATCGCGAACAATAATCTCAAACTCAGGACATGGGGGAATACAAGTTGAAAAGTTGCACTTCGCATTCGCTATAAACTTGAGCTTGCTGGCTGCGACGTCAAAATTGTAGTCATGGAAGTCAGTGAACGGAGCATGAGTGGAAACGAGAAGGCTGAGAAACTTGGAATTGTGGAAGCCTGCTGCTGGCCGATCATAACCGCGGAACCGCTGGCATTTGTGCGCTCGGTATCCCAGATTGGTGTGTAGTGCTCACAAAAGGCAATGCCACGCATGTAGTTGAGGCACTAGGACGCGAAGTTCCGGCTTGTTTAGGCGAGACTCCATGGAAGAGGAAGGTAAACCCCGGTTACGTCGGCGTACAACTGCCCGTCTTACAAACGCGAAGATGATATAGACGTCTCACCACACAACGATGCAAAACGCCATAGGGAATTTTAAAAGAGACGATCGAGACCCATGTCGAGGATGTTCTGGAACTCAACACGACGCTTGCCAGCGACGCTGCGTTTCCTAAGCGTTGCATCCGCAACAATATAGTGCTCAACGACCTTGACGGTAGCAGGAAGCGTATGGAATGGCTCAAGGTTGTCAAACATCAGGTTAGTGCTCTCGTCGTCTTGGGCAGAGTCATGCCTGAGGGATGTCAGGTCAGTGATGTTTCCGAAGACAAATCGCACGTGGAGTTTACTTGCCAGTGAATGGTGACCTCCCGCAAATCGGGCGCTTGTAGCAGGATCTGGTGTACGAACTTTGACCGCTGACGAAGAAGGGCGGGGAAAATGACTTCGACAGACCCAGTAGTGTCCGCGCGGATCCAAGTCGAATCCCAAACGAAGGTGATGTCAACCTTGCGGATGTTCTCTACAGGCAGATGTATAAAGTCAGTACATGTTTCACTTGCAGTCCATACAGGGACATTACTAACCCATGGGGGAGAACGCTGCGTCGGTGCTAATTTTAATGCAACAGGTCAGCGTGTGTTTTACATACGATTCATACAGCGATACCTGCATCTGGCTGAATGCTTCTTCGAAGAATGACGTATGGGCGAAGCTGCCTGTAGCATCGATACGTAAGGTGGCTACGTCGTAGAACCAGTTCTTGGCTTCGTTATTCAGCTGCTGTGAGACCAACAAGAGCTGGACTGGCGGAGGGCACTGGGTGAGGCGCATGAAGTTTGGAATATGTCGCCATTTGGCTAGATGATAGTGTACGAAATCAGCGTGTGTCTCATATGCAATCTGTCCAAAAAAATATTTCTTACCATGGGGCCGAACCACAGGCGCCGGAAGAAGAGGCTGAGTGGCGGCGACTATGGCAGCAGTGTTGCCGTCGCTGTCGGTGAAACCTTCGTCGCCCTCCTCGAGTTCGGTTTCGTCTTCACCCTCGCTATCCTCTTCTTGCTCTGCTTCTTCATTGTCATCCCCGTCCTCGTCCTCGTCCTCGTCCTCGTCCTCATCTTCATCTTCGATCTCACTGTCCTGTTCCGCGCTCTCAGTCTCTTCTGAGTCGCCACTCTCGTCGCCGTCTTCATCAGTTGCGGCGCTCTCGTCTTCGTACTCATCGTAGTCGTTACCATACACTACTTGGGGCGCGGGACCGTTGGGGTTGTTGGTGACCTCTTGCTCAACAAGTGCCTTGACCTCCTTCTTCTCAAACCAGTAACGGAGCAGTTTCTTGGGCTTGACGTCACGGGCAGCTACGTACTCGAAGATGTTGTGTCGCACTTCAAGCGGAAGGCCCATGAAGGCGGGTGCGGCTTTATCATTGGCCATGGTAGACATTGAGGTGCAGGTGATGGCAGTAAAGATGAAGCTGCGTGGATGTTGGAATGATTTAGGGCGGTAATGGAGGGGAGATGATTGCTCAGGTAAAGCTGCAGCGGTTGCCTAGTCGGGCGGTGGGCTTGTGCAGGACTGCTGTGTAGCCAGCAAGCGCGTTGCCAGGGTCCAAGGCAAACGAGGCGAGAAAAGCGACAAGAGGGCGTGCCTTAGTGTCGAGGAATCCATCATGACTAACGCGATGCTGTACGCTGCTCTTCACTTTCGCCAGATGCAGTCGAAGTCGACCCTGACCTGGAGTCGCGCCTTTCCCCACAGCCGGACTGACGCGCTACGTCAGACCTTCGCGTGATTGGCTGCAGCCATGTTGTAACTCGAAGCAGCATGACCTCGCTTCCTGTCGCCTGCCTCTGCTCACATCTGAAAGCATTGTGCTTATCAAGCTTATGTACGATAATCAGGCACGACATCGTACATGGACTGCAATATATGGCCGTGCTACTGGCAGCATGCATGCCTTCACGTCACATCAGCTTAACTTTTCAATCAGTCAATCAGTCTAATGTATAGAACTACCTAATGGACACCAGTGTCGAGCGAAGCATCACTATACATGGCGCAAACAAGCCTGGCCACTATACGTGGTCGCCCTTTGTCACAAAACTCGAATTCCGCCTGCGTCTAGCCAATAGCCCTTACCAACACGGCGTGGGCGGTCCAATCTCTGGACCCAAAGGCAAAATCCCCTATCTCGAGTTATCATGCCCGGGAGCTCCTTCCGAGATACTGGCTGACACCACGCTCATTACGAAAGAGCTCATCAGCAGAGGCCTGCTATCTGATATGAATGCGGCGTTAGCCGCCAGAGATATAGCCTATGATCTTGGTATCAGAGGCCTGCTCGAAGATAGGCTCTTCTTCTATAATTCTCGCGAACGCTGGATCGATAATTATTACACTATGCGCGACTACGTCCTGGCCAAGGTGCCCTTTCCGCAACGTATCATTCTCGGTTACCTAGCCTACCGGGGCATTGTGAGGAAACTGCAAGATCAAGGTACCGGTCGTTTCTCGAATGATGAGGTTCGCAGTTTCCGCACGGATATCTGGCAGGGTATAAATGGTCTGCTCGATGACAGCCGAAGACAAGCTGATGATAACGACTGCTTCTGGGCACTTGGAGGCCACAAGCCCACTGAAGCCGACGCCACTTTGTTCGGATTTACCGTCAGCGCGCTCGTTGCGGATGCTGGGCCGGAGAGCAGAGAGTTAATCAAGACAAGATGCCCCGCGGTGGTTGACTATGCTACAAGGATTCATCGTCGTTACTTCCCCAAGTACCACCTGTGGGAGTAGTCCTTACTGTTCTTGGCGCAGTATTAGCATCGATCGCCTGTGTTCTTACCTCGTCTGTCTAGGATAGCAGTAAACATAACAAATGATGGAGCAGCAGCACCTTTCTGCTGCTGCTCACCATCCAACCACCGCGCACGTCGATTCCAGAGTATATAATCCCGTCTTCTGGTCCTCATCCTCCATTTCTCTCACATCACAACTCACCCCAGCAACTCTATCCAATCCATCCATCGAGCATCCATACCCAAGTGTACTTCGGTATTCTCCAGGGACCTCTACGCTATTCGTCTGTTCAACAGCGGAACCCGGTATCCTCTGACCACGCTCTCCGCTATGCGTCTCACTACTAGCGTCATCGCTGGCTTCATCGCTGTCGGTGCCGCCACGCCAGCCGGTCTGACAATCCTGTCAACTTCAACCAGTAGCTCCGCAGATGCTGTTACGACCCGATCCACCCCTGTAGATGGCAACTGGCACATTGGCTGCGACGCGAACAACTACTGCTCCTACTATCAGGACAGTGATATCGCTGCTGACTCGTCTGCCGACTCGTTATCGTCTCGCACCATTACCCTGTCGGAGGCTACGTGCAAGCAGTGTACAAGCCAAGACCCTTGCGATGTATGATGCTCTACTCTCCCCGTCTATTGATATACAGAGCCCTTACTGACTTTGACTGGTAGTACTGTGAAAATCTTTCAGAATTCAGTTGCCGAGACTGCGACCACTACCAATGCGAAGATGGATATTTGCGCTATCAAACACATTGCTTCGATATCCAGCCAGAGCTTGCTGAGGCCATTCGCAATCACACAGGCGTCACTGATATCCCAGGCGTCACAGCCACCATCTACGAGACCGTTACCAGCACCAGTGTTGAGACCAGTTCCATTGTGCCGCCTACACCAACTTTCGATTCCACCATCACCATCACAAGTACGGCCGCCACAAACACGATCACACAAATGGTCTTTCCCCCGAGACGCAGTGTACTAGCCCCTCGCGACGAAGTAGCTTCCAATGGTGTCGGTAGTCAGCCACATGTTCGTCGCAATGCTGCATTCAAACAGTCGCAGTGTATGCCCTGTGACGCATTGACCTGCCCGGTATGTTGATTGTTCCGTAGACCCTAGTGTTACACGATGGCTTGCTAATCCTGCTTTGCTTAGGAATGTCACAACGACTGCGCTGAATGTGAGAAGTTCGTGTGCAACGACTTGGCTGCTCACCTGACCGTTTGCATGAGCATTCGCTCGAAGTGGCAGCCTCCCAGCTTCAATATCTCTGCTTCAGCACCAAGCGAAACAACAACTGTTGTCGTCATGCCCCAGCCAGGAACTGCAACTACGACGCAGACCGTACTTTACCCAACCTCCATCTCGACAATTCCTCCTCCCTCGGTTTCCACAGTCACCATATCGATTATACCCTCACCTCCAGCTGTCACGGTTACTGCATCTGTCCCTCCTGCTAGTACCACCACTGTCGTCGCAGTCCCTCAGGACCCCACGACGATCACTACGACCATCCTTTCGGTACCTCCCATTCCACTTAGTACCGTCACTGTATACCCCCAGGCTCCGCAGAACAGTGCGATCATTGTATCTTCTCCCCGTCTCCAAACCAGCACTGTGATAGTGGTTCCTCAACGTCCTCAACCCAGCACTGTGACAATAACTCGCCAGCGTCCTCAACCCAGCACCGTCACCGTGGAAAAGCCGGCCTCCACCATCGTCTACCACTATCAGGATCCAGCTTCCACCGTTGTCATACAGCCCCCAACTGTTACTGCTTCGCGCTCCCCATCTGTGATCGAGATTCCTATGACCATGATCACAACCGCGACACATACGGTAGCCAGATCAGTTCGTGCGGTACATACTCCTGCGCCTATGTCTTCTCGTGATATTACCATGGCCAAAACAACTTGCAACACTTGCGACGGTAACACGGAGTGTGATGTAAGTCAACACATCGATTCTCGTGTGCTCGCAGAACTCTTGACTGACTTCAGCTAACAATAGGGATGCGATTTTGCTTGCGACGAAGATTGCTTCTACTTTCTTTGCAAAGACGCCGTTAGCGGATCGGAGGTTTGTGTGAGTGTGCCAGAGGATGTCAAAGCTTTCAAAGCAAACGATGCATCCATGACTCCCAGCGACTTCCTCGGCTCCGCTGCTATGCTTTTGGTACTCGATGACGCCGAAGACTCAACTTCCAATGCTTCAGCCAGCCACCTACAGCCTGCAGTCTCCAATGGTACTAGGCCAAACTTTGCTTTTGCTGAGGAGGACTGTTATCTGTGCGAGGTCGATGACGAATCTTGCGGAGTAGGTGACACTTTTTTCTTTGCATACTGATCTTTATTGGTTTGTTCTGTTGACTGACTTCTATAGATGTGTGACTGGCAGTTCACCTGCGGCACCAAGAAGAGGTGCTTTCATAATGGAGCTCGCGAGGTTGTCGAGATGTGCTTCGAGACTGGCGAGAAGTGTCGTCCCTGAACCGATTTGGCGGGCATCTTTCTTCTACATGGCGCAACTGAGTCATCTCACAATGACACCAACTGATGGGATAGCTGAGTTGTTGGGTTTCCCTTGTTTGTCCCCTTTCATGCTTTGTCGATCGCGCAGCTCAGATTGACAATGGTGCAAACACGCACCAGGATCTTTACGTACTGCTTTCTCCTCCTTTCTCTCTTCACCTTTGTTACTTTGTACTTGTTGATAGCGTTTACTTTTGCTTCTGAATACCACACATTTTCTACAGTTTCTCGAGCTGTTTGCCTCAATACATGTGTGTGTTCATCAATTGTCTTTTACCTTTCACCGAGGCACATTACTTCTTGCTTTGACAACCCCTGGTAGAGTTGTCGCTGATCTAAAGCCCTAGGAAGAGGTCACTTGTTCGATTGATTTTCACTCCGTCAATGCTGCTCTGCACTAGAGGTGTCACCCCAAGAATCGTGTTTGCTGTATCGTGTGGTTCTCTGTGTTGCTGTTTCCTTGGTCTCTTCTATTCAGGTGCAAGAGCTATGATGATACATGAAATAATAAACCTGTGAGATTTTTCCGATCAAACGGCAGCACGCACAGGCATCGGTATCAAGAGTTCAGCTTTCTTCTGTTCATGAAGTGTCTATTGATTCTGTACGCCGAAGACTCCATGCAGCCAAATGCATCAAAGAGCCTTGTTGTTTACCCCCAGACCAAGTCAATTCTCTCGCCTTTCACTTTTGAATTGAACCACTCATAGATTTCAACTTCCTGTTGCATCACTTTAGCTCCATCAAGGACACCACTCTTCCCTAATCGCTCTGTCGCAAACTGTAACTCCAAGGTTGCCAAATTTCTTGCGATACACGCTCGGCTACCTACCCCAAATGCGAACCAATACTTTGACATCGCTTCCGTCGGGTTTAACCATCTCTCGGGCTTGAAACTGCGAGGCTCGGGGAAGACAGTCGGGTTGAAATGTAGCTCATAGGCCGAGCAGCCGACAACAGAGCCAGCAGGGAAGTAGGTGGATTTGAAAGTCCAGCCTCCCGTAGGTACAACGTGAGGCAAACGCGTCGGATTGGCCATGCTAATTCGAAGACCCTCCTTGACAACAGCGTTGAGGTAGGGCAACGCTTGGACTTCTTGTGCATCAGAACCAAGGGCAGCATTACTCCTGATCTCTTCCTTTAGTCTCTCGTATTTCTCGGCATAACATGCTAGATTCAGCATGATCGTAGCCAAGTTCATTCCCGTAGAATCTGTGCCCGCAAAGACAAGATCCTTGCACTGCGCTTTGACTTCCGAGTCGCTAAGCCCGGCGGCTAGTAGACGTCCTGGATAGGTCGTTGACTTCTCGGAGGTGTTGGTTACCAAGGCAGAGACAAACTTGTCGACCAGCATCATGCTATCGTCGGTCTCAGGGTCGGGCATCCATTTACCGACGGCCCATTCTAGCCATACGAAAGCGATATTTGGAAGGTAGAAGAAGCGGCCGACCGCTACAAATGCGTCTACGAATGCGCTAACACTGAGCACGGGACCGCGCTCGCTGACTCCATCGTAGTTCTCCCGGAAAAGATGCGTGGAAACTGCGTCTACTGCCAAGCTTCGCGTCAGATTAAGCACGTTGACCGGCCTTCTTGTCTTTGATTCTTCCTTTAGCCGCTCGATCATGCGATCCACGCACCCCCAGATAGCCTTCTCGTTCTCTCTGAGCGCTTTGGTAGAGAACAGTGGGACTACGGCTTTTGCCCTCGGACTCCTGTAATCCGCATCAACCGTCGAGAAGATAGTCTTGTGGCCGTCGATATCAAAATTAGCGTAGCATGCCGCTTTTGGAAACCCTCCTTTTGAAACATAGATTGCAGGTATAGCATCCGCGTCGCTTATGTCAATTTCATTGGGTGCGACACGCACGTACGGGCCGTACCGTTCGTGGAGCTTGTGAATTGTGCTTGCTTCATCCCCGATATAAGCGTGATAATGGAGGAATATGCTAGTCAACCTGGGTAACAATGGTCCTGGAATGTGAGATAGCGGGTGGAAATAGACGCGATATATGGAACGAATGAACAGGAGCAGGAACGGTGCAAAGAATAAGGTCACTGTGGGGTAGGCTGCGATAGCGCTGATAAAGAAGCTTTGGAGCGCCATCGAGATGGTAATTGAGAGTAAGGCTACATTGAAGCTCTCGTGCTTATCATCTTAATTATATAGGTCGTGGTTGGTTGAGTCACCATCGCCGTTAGTGGGGTGGCTATCAACGGCGATCATGGTCGCCGCCACCTTTGCGCCCGAACCCGAGGCCACAGTCTCATCTTCAACGTTCTCGCTAAAGCATCTTATCCTACTCTGTATCGCAGATTTTTTGGGGGGACTATCCATAGATCTCTTTGGATTACGCTACTCAGTAACGTACAATGACGTCATGTATAACCACGAACGTACGCACGGGAAAAGATTAGAGAAAACGTAGGAAATGCTCGATTGCAGCGAGAGGCTTGTATAGTCGCTAAATTTATCAAGACTAAATGACGGGTATATCACGGCAAAATGGTCGCTCTGATCATGTTACTGTCGATCTACTTTCCTTTTGCCCTAGCATTAGACATCAGCCTAACTCCTCGACACTACGATTAGCCCTTAAAGCCAGCTCATGATAAGCGTATCAAGCATTAACACCTCCGTCTATATATTTGCGGCATGCAAGAGTTACGAAAGCATCGATACTGCACTCGAGGATGGATACCGAAATGAATGTTTAGTTCCTATTATTCACTGCTTGGTTGACATAGCATGAACGTGGGTCGTTATGCAGTAAGGTAAGAAGGCAAGAGAGCCACAAGATGTTTCAATGACCTAGAAAGTCCAATAATCCACACCCTCTTCGACCCCAGATTCGTCTGGCGCTAATGTGTTCATTCATTCGGGGATATCGCGCGGTGTTGACAGTATCTGGCTTCTCTTCCTAACGTGAAATTTAGACTTCAAGGACGACACCTGAACTTGTGTTAGCTTCATGAGAGGAACAGGAAGTACACAAACTACTTACTATCCACGTCGTTGTTGTAGACGGTCTTGGTGTTATTGTTCTTGAGGTAGCAGTTGCTGTCAACCCAAGTGACGGCAACACATCCTGGGAAGATGGCGCACTCATCCACACACTTTGTCATGGTATCAGTTGACTTGAGAGCGATGTCTCCGCCATAGTAGTCATAGTTGCATTCGGCGATGAATGACTTGCTGTTGGTAAGGTACCTACACTTGTCGTTGGTGGGGCAGTCAATCACCGTAGTGCACGTCGAAGAGCCAGGAGCTAGCTCTGGGTCGGTCGGAGCCTTGAGTTCTACGCCGGCGTTTACGTTGTTGGAGCTGTAGAATATGTCAGAACAGTTTTAAGAGGTACCGATGCGCTAGCGATCGACCCACGAGATTCGGGCAGTTCCAACGGGCTTGCCAAGAAGGTAACAGAAACCATCTTTCATATTGAATGCAACACAACCGGAACGTCGAGAGCAAGCATCTCCGCAGTCGACGAACGCATCGGCCTAAATTGATGTGAGTACTTCATCGGGACTTCTTTTCGATTTTGATTCACCTGCGCAGCGTCAATGACGGGGCCGTTGTAGTCGGTTGCACAGCTGAGCTGGAATACAGCACCGTTGGTGGAGGTTGATACACAGCCGTTCCATCGAGGACATGTTGGTGTAGAGGGGCAGTTTCGCATCTGGCGAGGAACCAGTGTGGAAAGCGCAGCGGTGGCTGTGAGGAGTATTCCGTGCTACTTGAAGTTCAGTATAGATTGCAAACTTGTGGACGCATGAGAGAAGAACACCCTGTGATTGTCAAAGAAAAACCATACAACTGGTTCAAACAAGACAGTCATCCATTTGGGCGAAGTAATGTGCGTTGTAGCTGAAGCATACGACAGTTGCGACTTACCATTTTGGATAGTAGTGAGTGAAGGCTAGGTTGGTCTGGGAGGAAGGGAAGGAGGAAATGATGAAAGAAGAAGAGCTGCGTAGATGCCTTTGGATAAACTTGTCTCTCGTGGCTGAACCGTATAGTGATGTGGGCTTTGTGACGATGAAGGCGGGGTTTATGGGGTTGATACCATGGTTCGATGCCACCTATAGCAAATGACGGGTCTCCAAATCCGAAAGATAACAACAACCAAACCCCCGCGTATTCTCTTGATTACAACGGTTGGAATTTTCGAAGAGATGAGACCATGGAGATCCAACATGCCACATTAACATGAGCCTAGGCCTTGGGTAATCTTATAGCTGCAACAGTGCAGCCAACAGTTCTCATTTCTTTTCCACCGAGCCTCCATTGCTCCACGTACCAGTACCATACCATGTAATTGGCCTCGAATAGTCAAGCGTTCGCCCGTCTATGACATATGCCCAACGAAAGTATTCATTTACCCTTTTGTCAATTGGCCGATCCCATTTGAAGGAAGCCGCAACAAGCCCACCTTCGTAGAACGTACGATCGCGCTCAACGTCGTTTACTAAAACACTTATACCGTTAACTCCGATCGGGTGTACATCATACGAAAATGTCGCAACGGTCCCCTCGGTATCGGACTCGATAACAGCATTCAGTATCTTAGGAACGACCGAGTTGAACTTTGCATCATCGCGAAGTGCTGCAGAAGTCTGCAGAACAGAGTCAAAGTCCCAACGCGCTATTCCATTGATAAAGAGGCCCAATAGAATGCCTTGGTAGAGCAAGGATGGCCGTGTCTGGAGGCTGGTTCCGGGCAGCAACAGCATCGCAAGAATGTAATGGTGGATTCTCAGATTGACACCTGGTATAACCAAGCATATTAAGATGCTGGTAACGAAAATTCCGTACAAGCCGAGGTATCGGAGCAGGCGGCCTTCGAGCCAGAAGTAGTATACTTGACCCACAATGATTACTGCCAGTACCACAATAATTACGGCCAAGGCTATCTTCGCCCCCGGTTGTTGTTCCAGATCGTGTGCCGTAAGTCGCGATATAGGTATCCAATCAAAGGTGTAATTTGATAACGCCCCAATCCAGAATCCACCAAGCCAGAAGATTGCTTTCTCAAACTGAGCAGTCAGCCCAGACAAGGTTCGCTTAATGACAGTAGAGTACAACACTACTGCTACGAACATTGCCGGTAAAAGTCGTTTTGCGAACATGGATATGTGATCTGGCAGTACAGTGGTACTGTGATACGATGCCGATGGTGGATCAGAAAAAAAGCTCACATGGGCGAATATGAGAGTAAAGATTGGAAAGAAGATCTTTGGCGATGTGGAGAATATAGCAAGTACGGCAGTAAATAGAATCGAGATGGGAAGCAATGCTGATCGAGGATCAGAGATGGCCTGGAAGCTGTCATCGAAAGCCAAAGAAAAAGCTAGCGGAAAGTAGGAATCGAAAGGCAAGGATTCGATGCCGTGGCGCTTAGTACTGGCAAAATTGTCATAGTTGCCAACGAGGGTTATACGACCAGCACCACCTTTCTGATCATCTACGATCCCAGCATGGATCGCTGAGCCACAGATGAAACTATCTCCACGATAAACTTCTGTGCCGATGACAAGAGGCCGATAATTTACTTCAAGCGGCCCAACAACGTGCGGATTCAGGATCTGCACACCTCCACACTTTGCTGGACACTGGAAGGCGAGAGAATAGTCGCTGAAGGGCCGGCAATTGATTCCGTCGATACCGCATTCGTTCTTTCGTTTCCAGAGTGTATCTGTGCAGTCGAGGTTGAGCACACTGTTGCCGTCCCCATCTCGAAGCGGTAATTGGGCAGTCAGAAACCATATGAAAACCAGGAGCCACACGAGCAGCACGACAGCGAGCGAAATAGGGTTGTTGAGCCTGTATGCTTCAAGCCACTGTACTGGGCGCGCTTGAACCGACGGGAAGATCGGCTGTATGGATTGGACGCGAGGCGGCTCTGGACTGCGCAAGAAACTCAAGAATGTGTGTCGACTGGCACGCGTAGGTGGCATATAATCCTCAAAATCCAACTCTTCCCTTCCTAACAGGTGGGCTTCTTCATCCGTGTTTGCCGCGCCGGATACAGGGTCGCCCCTCTCCTCATCATGGTGGTCATCGTCTGATCCATTTTGTAAAGACATGAGCATAATCACCTCCGGCGCGTAATATATGCATAAGAAATATCGTGATGGTCATTATGGACTGGGGCGAGATATTGAAGCATCAGTATTTTCTCTAAGCTTTATCGATAAAAGCATTCGTATCTACAACCTCGCGCTGGTGCCTCAATTTTCCACTGAGCACATTGTTGAATGATAACGTAGTAGCAGTGGTACTTCAGATATCAATCTCCTTAGTAGCACTTTTCAATTTATCGTTACACAGTCTGGTCTTACTTTAGACGCGCGTTGTGCACCTCCAACTATGCGTGACCCCGTTTCCTCAACACGCGTTCCTATTACCCTTTCACATAGAATGCTTGTATTTAGTCGCTGAAACTCTGGTCTTTTCTTTTTCCCGTATTGCGAGAACAGGTCCATGACTGCGAGTTGAGGAATGAATCCAAATGTCTTCGACTCAGGGGCACAGACCAAGACCTTTCGGTGCTCTCGCGTTTGTACCAGGCTGAACACGTCCCAAACGTCCCAAATCCAACGCTCGACGTGCGCACAAATTCCCGAGCTCTGTACTGCCATCTAAGCACCCAATTTCTCACTGTAATGGACGTGCTGCAATCCTACCTCCCTCAATCAGAGGGTCTGCTACCTAAATGGCTTCTGATCGTACGTTCTGCTCTGCAACCTTACAATTGTCACCTTTACAGCGTCTCTCCAATAGGCCAGCTAACAATCTCCGCAGGTCTCTCTGATCTCCATCGGAAACAGCATCCAATGCTACTCCACGCTGTCCTTCACCTCGCGCGTCTACAACCCTACTCCAATTGACCCACCACCTACCACGCCAAAACACGTAACTGCTCTCTCTTCACGCACGTTTGGGACATGGACCTTTTTGACGGGCGTGGTACGTTTCTACGCTGCCTACAACATCAACAACCCTAGTTTCTACCAATTGGCTATCGCCACTTATGCCGTAGCATGGGGACACTTCATGAGTGAATGGTTCGTGTTCGGGACGACAAGATGGGGAAAGCCGTTGGCTGGACCGGTGATGGTAGCGACTTCAAGTCTGATCTGGATGTTCATGCAGTGGAATTTCTACGTAAAGGCTTAGAGAGACAGGGGGAAGAACACTGGGTATTGATATAAAAGATGGTGATGTAATGTTAATCTATACACGGATACCTTGATGCATGGAATATTCTCACACGACCTAGATCGAGGGCATGTCATGGTAGGGTCGGAGCATGAAGAGAACTAGAGTTCCCAACGCGAGCTACGTTGACTAGAAGTCATCACGATCCAGTACAAATAGCAATGGACTTTTTGACCCGCCTCGGTGGCTTGTTTGACCACTCGAGGACTTTCATTGATCGTAGCTGAAGAAACATACATGGCCCATGGGACTCCGATTCCTCAACCCTTGATGCCGAGTTTTGACGACCATATCGAAAACCATCACGCTCCGCCTCAACCAAGTTTCTTTCCGTTGTTGATCATGAACCGTTACACCATCCCTTTTCTATGCACTTAGAACTTGTTGAACTGCTTAGCAGCCTTTCCCTTTCGGGGGAGGACACGGAGAACGTTGAAACGGACGGTCTTGGAGAGGGGCCTGCACTGGCCAACGACGACCTGGTCACCGGGCTCAGCACGGAAAGCGGGAGAAACGTGTGCGGCGAGGTTCTTGTGGCGCTTCTCGTAACGGGAGTACTTGGGGATGAAGTGAAGGTATTCACGGCGGATGATCAAGGTGCCTGCACTGCGTTAGTCCCCATTGCCAAGCGTTTTCTTGTGGTGCTGGCCGAGCCCTGTGTGCGCTCCAGACCTGGGTATTCACGTACGGTGCATCTTGGTGGACATGACAGTTCCGGTCAGGATACGGCCACGGATGGAGACCATGCCGGTGAATGGGCACTTCTTGTCGATGTAGGTACCCTCAATGGCGGTCTTGGGGGTACGGAAACCCAGACCGACGTCCTTGTACCATCTCCTGTTGCGGGTGTTCTTGCGGGGTCCGCCGACCTTGTGGTTGAGGAAGATGTGAGGCTATCGCATCGCATTAGTACCGTGTGTGCTGGGAAATCGCGAAACGGGCGTCTAGTACCTGCTTCTGGAAAGCGCGCTCCGACTGGACACTATTTCGCAATCAGCATTTGTCGACAGTCTTGTTCGCGGGTTCGCACAACGTACGTGAGTTCGGTCGCCATGGTTGCGGGTCGGGTGGTATTGTCGAGCTTTCGATGTTGCTGGACACAATTTCCACTCTGACTTTCGCTTACGCTTAGCAAGTGTGGACGACAGGTTTCTCCGGTGCCGAAGCCTAGCGCCGCGCTAGTCCCGCCAGCCTCGGCAGGGCCTAGAGCGAAGCCAGGCGAGAAGTGAGAAGACAGTCGCGACGACTGACAGAGCGTGCGAACTTGGGTGCTGCAGCCGCTTGCGTTTCTTCCTTGACCTCACCTCCCCAACCACCAACCTCTGGTCACTCTAGCATCCGCCCATCATGGCAGGCATCCTCGAGCCGTTTGGTGTTCACATCGATGCGAGCAACTCCTTTGTGCAGGCTGCCGTTTATGGCTTCTTGCTTGTCGGCATTGCATCCTTCGCAGCACCCATTGTCAGCACTGTCCGGGTTCTCCTGAGCTTGTTCGTGCTTCCAGGAAAATCGGTATGCAGCCTTTCCACATGACTCTACCACTTGCCCAGAGCATACCTAACCCCCCGCCAGCTTAGCACCTTCGGACCCCGCGGTACCTGGGCACTCATCACTGGGGCTTCAGACGGCATTGGCAAGGAGTTCGCCCTCTCCCTTGCAGCAAAGGGCTACAACCTCATCCTCGTCTCGCGCACGCAATCCAAGCTCGATGCCCTCTCTGCCGACATCACCTCCAAGTATGGCCCCAAAATCGCCGTCAAGACGCTGGCCATGGACTTTGCGCTGAACAAGGATGCCGACTACAACAACATGAAGAAGCTCATCGAAGGATTGGATGTCAGCATACTGGTCAACAACGTCGGCTTGAGCCACAGCATCCCCGTGCCATTTGTCGAGACACCCAAGCAGGAAATGAACGACATCATCATGATCAACTGTATGGCTACGCTACGCGTCACGCAGCTTGTTACCCCCGGCATGATGTCTCGCAAGCGTGGCCTTGTCCTCACCATGGCATCCTTTGGCGGTTTCTTCCCCACGCCCCTCCTCGCAACCTACTCTGGCAGCAAGGCATTCCTACAACAGTGGTCCACCGCGCTTGCTTCTGAGCTTGAGCCCCATGGCGTATACGTTCAGTGCGTCCAATCCCACCTCGTAACCACCGCCATGTCCAAGATCCGTAAGACATCCGCCCTTGTGCCGAACCCCAAGCAGTTCGTAAACGCCACACTGAGCAAGATTGGAAGAAGTGGGGGTGCACAGGGTGTGGCTTTTACAAGTACGCCATACTGGAGTCACGGACTTATGCACTGGTTTCTCTCGCGCTTCTTGGGTGAGCGCTCGGATACTGTAGTCAAGGTGAACAGGGGCATGCACGAGAACATCCGGAAACGCGCGCTCCGGAAGGCTGAGAGGGACGCCAAGAAGCAATAAGATGGCGCACAGCTATCAACGCAGTAAAACGTTGAACCCATTGGATATACTATCTATACTTGCCTATATGTGCGCCCATACAAAAAGTCCTTACCTTTGATTCCCATCACAATTCACCTCACACGAGCCGAGGAACGAAGCCGCTACGAAGCGACATGAGACGGCTCTCACCACCTTCCACCCCTCGTATGTCGATATAATGTATAAACGCACAAAGGAACAGTTCTTCGTCATTTTTAGTGAGCATGGATGGAAACTTATGGATAGTACCGGAAGTACACTACGCATTCAAACAACCAAAAGCTTTGCGCCATGCTATAGCCTCAAGGATATAATTACAACGCTTGCTCCGCCACTCAGAATAGAAAACTCTGCAACTGGGTTCATATAATCATAAGAAAATAGCCAACAACCCAAGCATTGCAACAAGATATGATGCCTAACGTCGTTTTCGCGCCTCTGACGGCATGCCTCTACGACGACTTGCCGTAAGCCTGGTCAACTTCCTTCTGGTATTGCTTCAAGATGCCCTTGCGGTTGAGCTTCTGTGCAGCAGTGGTGAGACCCTGATATGTTGTTAGCATGTTGTAGGTTTACTTGCGTGTCGCATTGGTACTTACGTTCTGTGGTGTCCATTCCTCGTCTGCCAATACAACACCCTCAATCATCTCGAAGGCAGCCAGGCCGCCCTTTTGACCGGCTTGCTGTAATTGCTTGAGCACAGCAGAGTTAATCTTCTTATCGTGAACTAGCTCCTCCAAAGAGTCGCCACTGACACCTTCTGCCGATGCAATCTTCTTGAGTTGCGGTTCGGTAGGCACGATAATAGCGACAGGCTTCTGACGGTCTTCCGCAGCATAGACACAGATGTTGGCAACAATGGGCGCTGAGCGGTAGACAGACTCGAGCTTCTCAAGCGCAATGTACTCTCCAGCGAGCGTCTTGACCAAATTCTTCTTACGGTCGATGATGCGGATTTCACCGTTGGCATTAAACTCTCCGACGTCACCAGTCTTGAACCAGCCGTCGTCGGTAAACGCCTCCTTGGTCTCCTCAGGCATGTCCAAGTAACCGTCCACAACACCACCACCACGGATCCAGATCTCTCCCTGGGGTGGCTTGTTAGTGGAGAAGTAGCCGGCGTCTGCAAAGTCGACGAGCTTCATTTCGATTGAACCAGGCATTTCGCCGAGAGCATGCTCGTTCCAAGCCAAGGGGTCCATGAGCGCACCCATAGCGCAGGTTTCAGTCAGACCGTATCCGCTGATCATGGGCGTAATGGCGATAGAGATGAAGCGCTGGGTTTCCTTCGCGATGGGTCCACCACCGTTCATGCAAATTCGGAGCCTGCCACCGGTGGCTTCCTTGACCTTGTTGAAGACGATGGCGTCAAGAATACCACTGCCAGGTAGTCCGGAGCCAAGAAGAAAGCCCTTGGCAGCGTACGCACCCCAGAACATGTTACTCTTGACAGCGCCTCCTGCCTCAACCTTGTTGATGATGCCTTTCTTGATGGTTTCCCACACCTGAGGCACACCGACCATAACAGTCGGCTTCAGCTCACGGATGTCACCGGCACAGTTGCGCACCGACTGGTCTGAGAGCGTCCTGATGGTTCCGTAACCCATAGTACCGCCCCAGTAGAGTACGGCATTTTCAAAGACAAACTCGAGAATATGCGCGGCGGGAAGGTAGGTAATGAGAACATCGCCTGGTCCGAGGTACTTGCCAACGATGACGTCGACACCAGCAACTAGAAGCTGTCAGTAGGCTGTTAATGATTTTTGAGGTCTGTGACATACTAGCAGCAACGACGTTACGGTGCTTGATCATAACTCCCTTCGGGGTACCTGTAGATCCGGACGTGTACATGATGCAAGCCAGGTCGTCGGCCTTGGGTGGGATGGGTTCTGCAGGGCTCTGCTCGCCCATCTTGACCAGCTCGTCGAAGCTTATGACCTTCAAGTGCGGGTGGGCCTGGGTGAGGGTGTCGATGTCCTTCTGCTTGGGGTCGTTCTTGGTGCAGTACACGACAACTTGAACATCCTTGGCCTCCTTCATTGGGTTGACGAGCCTGGGCAGTAGCTCTGGGTCTGTGAACATGACCTTCGCGTTAGTCTGGAGCATGGAGTGCTTGAGACCCTCTTCTCCCAGTGTATCGTATGCGGTAACAATGGCCATGGATTGGGAGATGGCGCCTGGAATCATAATTAGTTGTTGCTTTTTGCATATATACACGCGAGTACTTACCATGTGCGGACGCAAGCCATTGCATGCTTGTAGCGGCGAACAGATGCAGCCTGTCCTGTGGGTTGAAGCCGAGCGACTTGAGTCCCGAGCCTACCGAGAGAGCCATCTTCTCGAACTCGACGAAGCTCTTGTACTTGTACGGGCTGAGCTCGAAGTACTGCCACTTCTTATCTACTTCCTGCTCCTTGCCATCGACCATCTTCTTGACCTTCTTCGTCTCTTCGTGTACGTTGACGATTTTGCGCGCACCGACTGCCTTTGCGTTTCCGAACTTGGCGGCTGAGTGTCGCAGAACGTCGTACAGTGTGGCTACGTTGTCGTGGGGCTTCATTATCAGGCCTTCTTTCGCAGCCAGGTTGCGGCGCGGGACCGTCTCGCCTTCTACCTTCTCTGCATTCGCAGCTTCGCACGTGTAGGGCCCCGACCGGTGCATTTTGGCCTGGGGCATCAGCTTCTTGAGGTCTTGCGGCATCTTGGCGACTCTGGGGTGGGAGCTGTCCAGAGCGACAATCGTGTGTGTTGAGCGTGGGTATATGTGGGGGTATAGGGCAAAGGGTATCACAAAAAGTGCCAGCAGCAGCGAGAGGGTATAAGTAGAGTGTGTCGTCGCCAGCGGAGAATGGCGGATGTGATGAGGTTGGTGTGTTGGGGAGCTTATGCGCTATGTTATGCTCAAGTCGCTAAATCGACTTGCTTGGGCGGCCGAGCTTCTTAGGCAATGACCTCACTAAGCCACCGCAAGCTCTGGGCAACTGGGGCTAGCCGCTTCTCCACTTCTTTCTTGTCGAACGAGATGCGACTGAAGATCGACAACGCAGCACACATCGCAAGGTTTGCCAGGTCGTGTCAGCCTCCTGTCGTCTTGCCTGGACGTCGTTTGTGTGTCTGAAACCTGCTCGACGTCACTTGTCGTCCAAGTGCAGTTGCGCCCGTCTTCAGCTGGCCAAGCAAGCCAGAGACTCTTCCAAGCCGCGCAGCATCCTTCTGACGCTGTATTTGGCTTGAGTGCCAACCTTCACCAGGCACAAGGCTCGTGCGCATACTCGCAACCCGCTGTCGCCTGAGCGTTGCCAAGATGCGGAGTCTCATCACGGATATTCTGGCAACGGAACCTATCCTGGACCCTGAAGAAGGTATGTAAGACGCCCCTGGTATCCTGGAATCTCACCATCGAATCACAACACTACGCTGGTCCTCGGCTCATCGTACTGCTCTTTCCTTGCGATTCGCTCCTACACATTTCTAATGTGGAAAATATCGAAAAACAACAAAGTGGTCATCATCAATACATCACTCATCAAATCATGCAGAAGCCTTCGTCGTGTTCTCGCAAGATATCCCTTCTCAGTCACTCGGTTTCATCGATTCGCAAGACCCAACCCTAGAGATTACGGTGGCGGGCCATGATCTGGTCATTCATCACTCAAAGGGTCTCTTGACCTCAAATCGTAGCGAGGGGACTACTGGTGCTAGTAAGTTCTGCTGTGATGATCTCCGAGGTCATGCGTTGTCCCAGCCTTTCTCAGAACCCAGCTGAGTCTGGCTTTCCTTGGGAGTTCCCGCGAAAAAGCATGTCAGCTTCGTAGCTCTGTACGAAAGAGCTCGTTGCTTTTGAACTATACTATCGTGCAGTAGATAGGCCAGCGAATCCATGATAATTGTCGCCATTATGATACAACTGTTGCCTTTCGTTCCTGTTACGCCGACTAACACTAATGCAGTGGTATGGAAAGTCACACCCTTATTCGCAACATGGATCTCTTCCCCTACAAACTTCCTCTTCACAAATCAGTTGATCACGCCCAGCTCCACCATACTCGAGCTCGGCGCAGGCGTATCAGGCATCGTGGCGCTCTGCCTGGGTTCCCGAATAGCAAGCTATACGGCCACCGATCAAGACTACGTGCTTAAACTGCTTCGGCAGAACATCGCCGAAAACCTCGGTACTGTGATACCAGTGAAGAAAAACAGTGGGAGGGGGAGTAAGAAACATCAGGGTCACTCAAAGAGTGGTGGTGGTGGTGGCGGCGGTATCGACCGCATCACAACATTGGAGCTTGACTGGGAGACAGACGCCACTTTTCACCTCAATCCTGTGGATATGATCGTAGCGTGTGACTGTGTCTACAACGAAGCCCTCGTTGAGCCGCTCAATGCAACGTGTGCTGCACTATGTAGGCTGAAAGAGGGAAGTGGGAGCCCCACGCTATGTCTGATAGCGCAGCAGCTACGTAGTCCAGAAGTCTTTGAAACTTGGTTGAAAAGCTTTCATCGAAGTTTTCATGTCTGGCAGGTGCCTGATAGCATGCTAGGTGAGGGGTTGAAGGAGGGGAGTGGGTTCGTGGTGCACGTTGGCATTGTGAGGTGACCTGGGCGGCCTCGGGTAGAAGTGACGATGAACAGTCTCTTTATAAACATAAACTACCAGAACACTATAACGCCGACATGCCTTTGAAGCATGAAAACTCGCTCTTTGTAAAACCAGACAGCTCAAACGACGCTTATGCAGCCTTGCTAGGCTCGATATCCGAACTCGGTCGTCCCTCAACATCTGTGGCTCCCTTCCTGATCCTCGCCCACTCTTCCTTGTCCGCTGGCTCATCAACTTCATTCGCAGTCAACTCTGGTGTCTCTTCATCCTCAATCTCCTCTGGTAAGACAAGGTTGAGTATAACATTGACTAGAGCAACAACAGCAAAACCAGTCTCCAGAATCAAAACAATAGCGTTGTAGAAGCCCTGCAGTGCGTGGTTTGGTCCGTCGTATGTGAAGACATGATCAAACCAGTCGGGAACCATAGTGGCGCCAAAACCCAGTGTGAATCCCGCAGTGAGAATGAAGCGGTTGCGGCGGGTAAAGGGCATGGTGCTTATAATTCTGATACCAGATACGGCTACAGCGCTGAAGAGGAAGGTCGTCATTCCGCCGAGAACTGCTGATGGGATGGCGACAAGAGCCGCAGCAAATTTAGCAAAAATTCCCATGATGATGAGCCAAAAGCAACACGCATAACCAGCTTTCCGGTTAGCACAACGAGTCAAAGCAATGACACCGTTATTCTGGGCAAATGTACTGCGCAAATACGAAGTCAGTGTATGTCTCATATGCATTTTGTATAGGCACAACTTACCTCATTGGGGTAATAGTGCACAGGGCAGCAATCATGCCATTCAGGCCATCAGCGAGGACACCACCTTGGATTCTGGAGTCGAACATTTCGCCATCGACTTCGAGGCGCGAAACATCGCAGGTAGCGGTAATGTCACCAATGGCTTCCATGGCGCAAACCATGTAAACCGCCAAGAGCGGGAGTACTATGGGCCCGTAGACGGAGAGCTTGAAGGTATTGACCCAGATGAAGGATACAGCAGGCGCCGCGTCAATGGTAGACTTGTCAAAGTAGCCGGTTGCACCAGCGATTATGCATCCGACGAGGAGTCCGATGACGACGGCAGTGGACTTCATGATGGGTGCGCCAAAACGCTCACAGATGATGATGGTGATGAAGACACTGAAACCAAGACCGATAAACTCGGCGCTACCCCAGGGAAGAGGGTGAGGAGCGTTGATGTTGGGGCATAGCGCGAAAAGTCCAGATTCCGGGCGGGACTGGCAGTCACCGGAACCGCCGGCCCAGTTTTGGAGTCCAGTTTCGATGAGATGGACACCGATGAGCAGAACTGTAGGACCGGTAACTAGGGGTGGGAAAACCTTCTTGAGGATACGCGGGTTGGTAAAGGACATGCCAATTTCCAGCAACGCGCATACTGCACAAGTACCGAGAATAGCACCGTATCCATCAGGGCACGGTAGTCTTGTGCCATCAGCAGCAGTTGGGCAATATCCAGTCGCGTACATCTGGCTAAGCGCGCCAGTCGCCACGGGAATAGTCGCAAAAGATGTACCAACAACTGAAATCAGACCTGTACCGATGTAGTACGGGGTCTTCCAGATGTGGAAGCGCGTGATTTGAATCGAGGATAGGATTCCGCAGACTACTAGCGAAGTGGAAACAAGGTAGCGTTGCTGGTCCGAACTGAGATTGGCGGCGTTGGCAAGTATGATCGGTGGGGTTATGACACCTGCTAACATGGCGAGTGCATGCTGAAATCCGAGAAGGAGAGCTAGTAGTACTGGCATACGATCATTAAGGCCGAAAAAGGGCGCTGCTCTTCGCTCCTTCTTCATAAAAGGTAGGTTTGGCCGGAAGAGAAATCCGTAGTCGTAGGTGCCAACTAACCCATCTCTGTAAACGTTGTTAGAGGGTTACAGGCAAATCACAAAAGGAGGTCATACTTGGTCGTGAAGGCCTTCATGGCGCGCCTTGCTTGCTCTCCGAAGCTTCGCTTTGGCGTATGGTCTGGACCAATCATGTCGGCCATGGTTGCTCAGGCTTTGAACGCCAGATGCGCGCGTTCCAACAGAAGCAGATGTGTAAGTTTTAGGCCAACTCTTATATGTCTAGTCGTCGAACTTCCGATAAGGATGCGCTCGATGTTGAAGATCCCGATAAGATTGGCGAGGTGGCTGAAGATATCGAACTACACGATCAGTGGGAGGGTCGGATGGAACGTTTGATCGGCTACGAGCTATCGCGTGCAGAATTGCTCACCACTAGGATGGCTCTTGAAAGACTCGAATCTTTCACTTGGAGTTTGACATGCGGGGAAGTGACGTGAAGATGGTGAAACCTTAGTCCAAGTGGGAACAGTCGATGTGTGTTAGAGTGACGGCTCAAACCGATGGAGCTGGCTCCTCGTCTATATAGAACATGTGGAGAAGGAGTATTATCTCTCGCGCCAGTACTCACGATACACAATTGTTCATCGACAACGTCCTAGCCGTAGATTCAAGGCACTCACGGACCGCCAAAGATTGGAGCTGGCCGAAGATAGTCGTGAGCCGCCGGAAACAATTACTGTTCTCCACGGCAAACTCGTCGCTAAGGCGCGCATTTCGCAGTGGCAGAGGGGGCGACACCCGCGTATGTGCTAAAGCGATCGCCTGTACTGATAGGTAGGGAATACGTGATTGGTTGTGGAGGCCTGGGAGTCCGCTTAGCGGGCGGTCCACTCCGACGATAGAGGGCGGGAGATATTGCGGGAGACGCCTCCCACACTGAAATCAAGTGAATGTGCATCTAGATCTAATGCCGAACGTCGTCAGAACATCCTGTTCGCCGGACCCCGATGGTGCGGTGCTTTGCGCATTCATTCTGGGGGGACTCGTGTTCTTGAAGACTGGCGTAACAGCCGGTGATCGGAGCCTCGCTGACAACCAGGCTGACACTTACCGCAACAGACTCCATGCGGACTGCATCAAAACTACTACCAGCTTCTTCGTTTCGCTCCAACAGCATACAATGTTATGAGTCTCCCACTATTGGAGAGCGCAAGTTCATCTCGAGCAATCGTGCTGATATTCGCACACTTTGACCACTGACCTCTGGCTGGCTGGCTGGATTAAGCTATGGTTAACAGGCGGTACATGCCAAGGTAGCCCCAGACGACAGAAGCGGTACTATGTTGATGTGTTGGTATACTGCAAAGAGAGAGGAGAAGCATTCGTCTCATCGAGGAATAACCAACGGCAGACTTTGTCACAGATTGCGCCTTGGCAGAAGTCGAACAAGGCTACGCATTCAGGGTGCCACAACCAACGTTTGCAAAAAGGGCTCGTCATAGCTCGCGCGTGCATACCAACAGTTTGCCTTCAGCCCTACCCGTTGAAGCGTTGAGACGACCACTGACCTCATGGCATGGACGTAAGACCACACTGGAGGGTGCAGCGGGTGTGACACAGAAGACCCACGGAGCCGAGGCAGATGAGCGTACGTTGATTCGCAGACTGATGCATCGTGTTGAGTCGGCGATGGTGGGCGCGCGTCGAGGTTGATATGAACAAGTCGTCTGTATGGCTTGGAGACAGACAAAGCAGGTGTTGAGAAGCGCCATCCCAATCGAGAAGAGCTTGCGACCGGCCACCCGAGGTTCAAGCCGTGCCGGGGATTTTGCGCCAGCGGAAGAAGACCCTTCAAAGTCTCCAACGTTCTGCAGCATAGACGAATTTCTTCAAGCGCCATCGAGAGTCATGGACGAGCTCCACTATGCATCGGGAGACGAGCATTTTGCCACTGCTTGAATTAAGTCGTCGCAGCCAAGTTCCCCAGACTGGCTGGAGTTTGGCGGGCCGCACCCTACGTAAGGCTGCAGAAGATATCGGTAGTGCGGACGCAGAGCGATATCAACAAACTTCTGAACGAGGGTGGTGTCAGCTTGAATCGGGCTCATCCTTTGAATGCAGGCGTGGCCAAGCGGGGCCTGAAGCGGAGAGGACAGGTAGCGAGCTAGCGATGACGAGACTTGTGGCATCACCACGGCGTGAGGTTCTATGCCCAGTAAGGCAATCCTTCTCGCCGGGATGCGCTGCCGAAGATTTGCACCAGACCGCTCTTTGTGATCATCTTCGCAGGACGAGGGCGAGAAGAAGCAACAGAGAGCTCTCAAGTGGATAGTGCGGCCGAGGGGCAGCGATTGCTAGAATCTGGGGAAGGTGGCGGCTTGGGATTGATGGATATTCTGCACGTCGCACCACGCACCGCCACCCAGGTCTGTTCTCGATGCCGAGATCAGCACGACCTTGACAGTTAGGCCCGAAATTTTCTCGCGCTGTTACAGCCAGCTCCGTCTTTTTGCCTGTGCGGGACCCTGAGACAGCGGTTAGTGTGCGGCGCTAGCCTTGGTATGACAAAAGTTACGGCGATTGCTGGTTCTCGAGCGACAATGCAAGGTCCCAGTCTTTCGCTTACACGCCCGCAGTGTTGGGACTCTGCAACCATTCCGCCGCCTTATTAACAGCGGCTGCCGTCTCTGCTTTCCCTCCCACCCGACATCTTTCGTTGTTCCTTCCCTCCCCCCTTCAACCTCGTCATTCACTTGAACGTGGTGAAGCTTTCCATCGTTGCCGTTGGAGCTTTGAACTCACACCCACCGGAAGCCAACCGGAGCTCAATCTTTTTTTGAGCCGCTAGTTGCTTCCAGTCGAATCTCTTCGACATCCCTCGCTTTCCCTACTACTACCTTTCCACCACACCCTCAGTATGCCTTCCCACCAGCCTACCGCCGGCATGATGGCCGTCGACCCCGACTACGTCAAGCAGCCGTCTTCCATGGCGAGCACCTCGGAGCCGAACCGCAACCCAAAGTACGACCCTAAGAAGCCACACATCACCGACACGCCCATCACCAAGGCCAACTGGTACAAGCACGTCAACTGGCTGAACGTAAGTTTGATCGTAAACACGCACCCCGCAGCATTGGCTAACGTCGAACCCAGGTTACCTTCATCATCGGCATCCCTCTCGCTGGCTGCGTTGCCGCCTTCTGGACTCCTCTCAAATGGCAGACCGCCCTCTGGGCAGTCGTATACTACTTCTGGACTGGTCTCGGCATCACAGCTGGCTACCATCGCCTCTGGGCACACAAGTCCTACAACGCCTCTCTCCCACTCAGCGTCTTCCTTGCCCTTGTTGGCGGCGGTGCTGTTGAGGGTTCCATCCGCTGGTGGAGCCGCGACCACCGTGCCCACCACCGCTACACCGACACCAACAAGGACCCATACAGCGTCCGCAAGGGACTTCTCTACAGCCATCTTGGCTGGATGGTCATGAAGCAGAACCCCAAGCGTATTGGCCGCACCGACATCACCGACTTGAACGAGGACCCCGTTGTTGTCTGGCAGCACAAGCACTACATCAAGGTTGTCATCTTCATGGGTTTGATCTTCCCCTCGGCTGTCGCTGGTCTTCTCTGGAACGACTGGAAGGGTGGCTTCATCTACGCCGGTATCCTCCGCATCTTCTTCGTCCAGCAGGCTACCTTCTGCGTCAACTCGCTTGCCCACTGGCTCGGAGACCAGCCCTTTGACGACCGCAACAGCCCCAGGGACCACGTCATCACCGCCCTTGTTACCCTCGGCGAGGGTTACCACAACTTCCACCACGAGTTCCCCTCTGACTACCGTAACGCTATCGAGTGGCACCAGTACGACCCCACCAAGTGGTCCATCTGGCTGTGGAGCAAGCTCGGTCTCGCCTCCAACCTCAAGCAGTTCCGTGCCAACGAGATCGAGAAGGGTCGCGTCCAGCAGCTCCAGAAAAAGATTGACCAGAAGCGCGCCAAGCTAGACTGGGGTGTACCTCTTGAGCAGCTTCCTGTCATCGAGTGGGACGACTATGTTGAGCAGGCTAAGAACGGCCGTGGTCTGATTGCCGTCGCTGGTGTTGTACACGACGTTACCGACTTCATCAACGAGCACCCCGGAGGCAAGACTCTGATCAAGAGCGGCATTGGCAAGGACGCTACTGCCATGTTCAATGGCGGTGTTTACTTCCACTCCAACGCTGCCCACAACCTACTCTCTACCATGAGGGTGGGTGTCATTCGTGGTGGATGCGAGGTCGAGATCTGGAAGCGCGCCCAAAAGGAGAACAAGGAGGTCAACATCGTCAAGGACGAACAAGGCAACCCAATCATCCGGGCTGGTAACCAGGTTACCAAGGTCGCGCAGCCCATGCTTAGCGCCAGCGCGGCCTAAAGCATTGTCCTTTTCGATTTAGCGATTCCTGGCGTTTGGGATGCCTTTTCGTTTTGTGTAGGCATAATACTGTTTTCATTTCACAGCGTTCGCTAGCGAGCATCGTCTCCACGAGGCTCAGCACGATTAGATGGCGTATGTTTGTAGCCTTTGATGAGCGCATGCTTTAAAAAGTGAGCTTTACGGCCTAGACCGAGAATGATATCCATTCACAATTTACCCTAAGATATCTAAATGCTTGCCCTATTGTGATGTTATGCAGCTGGCCAGAGTGGGTTTTGTTTTTGTTCCTTCCACCTGTTCGTTTAACGCAAGTGACTGCCTTCTCCAATCGGCTGGTCCGTGCCTTACTGTCAACAAGTCTGTTTTCAACTTTCTTATTGCGCAGGGCAGGCATCACTTCAAAATCATCACCGTTATCACACTCTCATTGATGGCGTCCCAACAGACGGGGATTACTCCGCCACCAAAACGCCGCAAGCTTGATGATGATGCCTCGAACCAGGAAGTCGCGGAGCCTACCGTTCACGCAAGTCTCAACAAGCCAATAAGCCCACCACTATCACGTCGTAAAAGTCCTGAGCTACCGTCGTTCACGCCGACTTGGAACTTCGATAGCATACCTGAACAAACATTGGCGTCGCGCCCGGCTGGACTAACCACAAATCAGCCACCAGATAACGAACGTAGTCGCAGAGAGGAAACACGGTTTCTGCCTTCGCCTATACAACTGACCAAAATTGAGAAGCTGTCTGCACACCAGAATGCCGACGCTGTGAGTTTGTCAGATTTATTGGGTGACCCTCTGATCAAAGAATGCTGGAACTTTAACTTTTTGTTTGATCTGGATTTTGTCATGTAAGTGCACGCTCAAGATAATTGCCACATGAGTTTCAATAATGATGTCGTCCAGGCAGCACTTCGATAGCGATGTGAGGGATATGGTCAAAGTAAAGATCATACATGGCTTTTGGAAGCGGGTGCGAAATGTCCCGTATAAACTCTATGTGAGACACACACTGACTTCGTAATACGGATCTTCTAGGATGATAGTAACAGAATTTCCTTGTTCGTGAGTTCCCTCACTCCGTGTCTAATTTATAGATTTTAACGAAGACCTAGGAAACAGCAGAACAATATCCTAATATCGAGCTGCTGAGCGCATACATTCCAGATCCTTTTGGCACCCGTCAGTAACGCTCATGTACGAACCACGTGTGAGACATACACTGACTTCCTACACGCACATTCAGATCACTCAAAGATGCTTATCCTCTTCCGACATGACGATACTGCGCAGATTGTCATTCATACAGCCAATATGATCTACCGTGATTGGGCCAATATGACACAGGCAGTGTGGATGTCGCCATTGTTGCCTGTTTCAGTCAAGGCAGCAACTCCACAGATAGATCCTCTTGAGGTCCACCCTATTGGCAGCGGTGAACGCTTCAAAGTCGATTTACTGCAGTATCTTAGAGCATACGGGAAACGGTTGAATGGTCTGACTAAACAACTCGCAGACTATGACTTTGCAAGTATCAGGGCAGCTTTCATCGGTAGTGCGCCATCACGACAGAAGCCTGCTGCAGCCAGTCCTTCGGTAACCTCATTCGGATGGCTAGGACTACGAGAAGTACTTTCTGGTATCCCCGTTTCGAGATCGAAAGACGACTCGCGCCCTCACATCGTTACCCAAATATCCTCCATAGCGACATTGGGTGCAACACCGACGTGGCTCTCGAACTTCCAATCAGTGCTTGCCCGTTGTTCGACAGCCAAAATTGTTATCTCGGAGAAACCCCCACCTTCTTTCACAAAGGCATCATCTTTCTTCACCAAACGTGGGTCTAGCTCAGAAAAGTTGTTACCTAGATACAGTGTCATCTTCCCGACACCAGAAGAAATTCGCACCTCCCTTGATGGCTATGCGTCTGGTGGATCAATTCACTGGAAACTCCAATCAGCACAGCAACAAAAGCAGCTAGAGTACATGCACCCAACACTATGCCATTGGAAGCATGTATCTTCAGGTGGTCTGCCGAAACGCCAGGCGCATCGTGGCCCCGCGGCACCACATATCAAGACCTACATACGCTTCGGCGACGAAGAGCATAGAACCATCGACTGGGCAATGGTGACGAGCGCCAACCTAAGCAAACAAGCATGGGGCGATGTAGTGAACAAGAAAGAAGAGGTCTGGATACAATCATGGGAAGTTGGTGTTGTTATCTGGCCTGGCCTATATGCTCAGACACAATCAGAAGAAGTCGCCATGATCCCAGTGTTTGGGGCTGACATGCCTGAGCCTGCGGACCTTTCTGCCCTTAATTGCAACGCAGAGATGGCAACAGAAGGAACGAAGTTGTTGGGGCCGGAGACTGTCGTAGGCTTCCGCATGCCGTACGATCTGCCGCTTCGTCCTTACAATGTTGAAGAGAAGCCTTGGTGTGCCACCATGCAATATATGGAACCGGATAGGAATGGGCACGCTTGGGGCGGCTATGGGCGTTGATAACAGCACTATTGCAACCGCCGTGTAGAGTATGTGCAGATTCTTGGGCAATTTCGCTAGCAGCGTACTAGTACAGTGACCATACGAGCACGTTGATTGAAGCATTTGTTGTCCTTGTGATTTCCAAGATTACATATGGCATAACACAGCCGTGGTGATACTAAAGTCTCACGAGTGTCTCTCCGATCACCCGACGCTTATTTGTCGTGCTTGGCCAGTATCTCCTCGGCGGCCTTGACGTACTCGTCCTCGGCCTCCTTCTGCGTAGTTCCGGCGTCAACGACCTCCTTCCACTTGTTGTACTTGGCCTTGCCCTAATCATGCTGTCAGTTTGTGTCGCTGCATGGCTGTTCGAAGTTGCCCGGTGAGTGCGGGTATGGGAAATGGTATGTAGGCGGTATATCACGACGGAGGATACGGAGGAGTAGAGAAGGTATGCGAGAACATACAGCAAGATCAAACATGCCAGGCTTCTTGGCGTCGTTGATGTCTTTGCCCTCTGCTACCTTGGCGTACGCGTACAACTATAATTGCACAAGAGTTAGCATCTGAACTGCGGTCGAGTAGTACACTAGGCTAGAAAAGGAAAGCCGAAACAAAAGAAAAGAAGGACATACCTTTAGCTGTTCGTCATTGCTAGGACCCGGCTTGCCAGCCGCCTTGAGCTTCTCGCCCATGGCGCTGACCTTTTGGTAGGTCTGGGTGTACTTGGCTCCTGGCATTTTGGTCTATATTACAAGCATTAGCTCTCTCCATTTCCCTGTTCCAGGCAGTAGGTTTCGGGCGCTTCTTACTGTAATACGTGTAGTTTGTAAAGGGTGTATAGAGATGTAGGTGGTTGTGGTGGACTAGTTGGAGAGAAGCTTGGGGCCTTGCTGGCTGGTAGCGGGGTCGAGATCAAGTTCGTAGTGGGGCACCTGCCCTATGACGTTTCCCGAAGGATACATCACATGGGACTTGCACACATGGACACTTCATCACAGCTGTCGGTCATAAGATTGTGCATGAATTTGTATTGGAAACCTATGAAATGTACTGTCTTCCTGTAAACGCCGTTGCAGCGCCCCGCTATATGCAGCCCTCAACGTTTATCATGTATCGTTTATCGCTTTCTTCTTGGGTATCACCTCTCCCGCCGTCTCTAATATGCGTGTAGTGAGCGTATGAGCTACCAGGCTAAGAGTTCCTCAACTGCTTATGTGCATGTGAAACTTCTTACGCAAAGTGAATAAGTTAGCAAACGATATTCTAGTGCACGCCGTTGACACCGTTGACACCGTTGACACCATTGACACCATTGACACCATTGACACCGTTTACGCCATTTACGCCGTTGGTGGCTGGGGCCGATTCGAGCTTCTTCCGGTAAAGCTCTCCATCACATGCCCTAAGACGCTCTGCAGCCTGCTCTGGGGTGATGTCACGCTGAGGCTCAGCCATCATCTCGTAGCCAACTTGGAATTTGCGGACGGTGGCACTTCGCAGGAGCGGAGGATAGAAGTGGATGTGGAAATGGCTGGACTCAATCTCATCAGCTGTGCCACTGAGAGGAGCCTGGTGAAGACCCATGCCTTGATTTTGTTAGCCACTGTGTTGCAAGTCCAACTGTAGTTGACTTACTGTAAGGGAACTGAGTCTCAAAGAGGTTGTCATAGCGCCTCGTAATCTCTGCTATACACTCTGCCAGCTGTGCTCGTTCGTCTTTGGTAAAGTCGACCAGCGACCGCTTGTGCTGCTTTGGAACGACCATGATCTCAAACGGCCATACTGCCCAGTAAGGCACACCCGCCCAGAAGCTCTCGTTCTCAAAAACAGTACGGGTCTTCTCTTTCGATTCCAACTCGGCATAATCAACGAGCATGTGAGCGCCTCCTTGCTCTTTGCGGTATTTACTCAGCTGTACAAGTTCCAACGCAGGCTCTTCTGGTAGGGACGTGGTAGTCCAGACCTGTCCGTGCGGGTGGGGATTTGAGCAGCCCATTGCTGTGCCTTTGTTCTCGAAAATCTGCATGTACCGATACTGAGCATTCGGAACTGCAAGAGTTCCCTGTGATAGGGGCGGGAGAGTAGTAGCGGATGCAAGCTTGGCCAGTGGCGACTTGGGATCCAGATGTGCAACGTAGATGTTCGTCCAGGTCTCTATTATAGGAACGATCTGCGCCGGCGACATATCGGCAAGAGTGAGATTATGAGAAGGGGAAAAGCAGATAACATAGCACTTTCCAGTAACGGCCTCGGCGCGGAGTAATCTAGAAGCGAGCGATCCGTCCTTGCTACTGGGGTCATACTCTTGCTGCTCTTCCATGACGGCACTGTAGTCGTTGACAAAGACAAAAGTTTTGTCGAATTTGGGGTTGTGTTCGCCATTTGCCCGCGTGTTTGAGGGGCACAGATAGCACTGTGGACGGTTAGTGTTGGCGTTGGATAAAGACAGAGTCCGGGCGAAGGGATACCTCTGGGTCATATTCTGGGAGGGTCGTCTTGGACGGAGACTCCTGCATGCCTCTGTAGGTTTTCAGTGGGCTGTCGGATGATCAGTGCCATCAAGATGCTTACTGCCATGGTCGCTTTGTGCGGTGCGGAGAAACTAGTATCCAGCTTCCTCGTAGGATGTTGAAGCGCCTGTGGGAGATGTCGTTCAGCACGGGGTCGGTCATGATGTAGAAATTGTTCCTGGTATGGGATCAGGGCGGACGGTGGTGGTTAGTAGTATATATACAGCCTGGGGAATACGGCGAAATGGGCGCAGGGGCAGTATGCATGGCTCGTGAGCTAAATAGATGGGAGTGACGCCAGTCAGTGAAGGCCTGCACGCTAACTCGGTCAAGCTTTCCCTGTCGGCGGGATGCTAGCCGAGTCGAGTAGCGCACCCTCAGAATGGAGGTTCCCGAGGGCTTGCGCGTTGCATTGAGGACAGCAGAGCCTCTCCAACAACCCACGATACCTGCCGATTGGAGAATTAGCCCGCGACCCGTGAACGCAGGGTTTTTTCTCGAGCCCAACATGGCGGCAATGATGCCAAGTGCCGCAACGACCGGCAACCCCTACGACGACGACGCCGTGGAGCGTGATCTGATTGACCCCGACGATGGTGTGTCGCATGCATGCATCTACCAGAGGCCATGGACGACGAGCTAACCACCACCAGCTACCCTCGATGACCTCGATGATCCTCTTCAGGGCACGTCGGACCGCGCGCCGCTGACGGGCAACATGCAGCGCGGCGCTGCGCAGACGCAATCCTACCTGACATCGAGCATTCCAGGCGAAGACCGCCGCGCGCCCACCAACACCATCGACGAGACGGTATGGGACACGCTGTCGCGCGACATCTTCGCCATCTGGGAGAAGATGAAGCAGGTCTTGTACCCCAAGTACCTGCTCGGCGGCATCATGCAGCGCGGCGGAGGCATTGGCGCAGCAGAGCGCGGTGAAGCCGACGGCTTTGGCGGCGGCCTCAGGAACATTGCAGGGCGATGGCCAGATGCAGATGTCATCCTCCAGGGCGGCATGAGCGAGGGCTTGCGCGACTGGGATCTCTGGGGCCCACTCATCTTCTGCCTGCTACTCAGTCTGTTCCTCTCGTGGGGCGCAAAGGGTGACCAGAAAGACCTCGTCTTCTCCGGCGTCTTCGCCATGGTCTGGATAGGCGAGGCAGTCGTGACACTGCAGATCAAGCTACTCGGGGGCAACATGTATATCCTCTCTGCAATCCCACACCCTTCCTATACTAATGCCCTCCAGTGCCTTCTTCCAGTCCATCTCCATCATCGGCTACACCCTCTTCCCGCTCGTAATCGCCTCCATCCTCAGTGCTGTTGGCATACCCATGATCGTGCGCATCCCCGTCTACATTGTCCTCATCGCCTGGTCGTTGGCAGCAGGCGTGAGCATCATGGGCGGGTCGGGCGTGGTGAGGAACCGTGTCGGCATCGCAGTATACCCCTTGTTTGTGTTTTACGTGGCTCTAGGCTGCCTCTGCTTCATCAGCTAGTGCTAAGATGTTATGCATGTAAAAGTATCGGGGCATGGTACAGCACTATCTGGCGTTTCGGACAAGCTGTGGAAATGGCTATTCATATATTCTGCATATTTACTCCAATACAACGAATGCAACATGTTAGATGCATTTCGGGACAGACATGAAAATAAGCTCGACGTACGTTCCCAAGTAGCGGTAGACGCACAAGTTGCTGCTACCCGTGTTCATGTTTAGCCGTGTGTCTTCCCCACTTCGTCATTGGTCTTTGCAGCGACAACACACTCGACCACGACCGACAGAAGCGCCAGCACTTTGCACCCAGTTAGCCATTCACCACACACGGCGCGCCCTTTCTGCACTTCTCTCGTTCCAGTTGCGTTCTCGACTCGACGGTGTAATTAAACAGTGTTGCATTCGGCGCATTGTAGTGGAAATTTGGTACTAGAGCGCATTGACCGACTCCACTAACCACAAGGCCCATCTGCTCTGTTCTCTTCCGTTGAACGATCCAAGCCTGCAGCTCATAGCCACACCCATTCTCCGACCTCGTTTCCCTATCTTACGGGACAAAGCGCCTTCACATCGCATTGTCGGCCAGTCAGCTCGCCACTAGCCTTGCCGACACACCACCGCGCTGTTGTCCCTGTCGCCCACCGCAACTTGGTCTTCACCACGGAGCTTAGTTGCTATTGTCCGTACTCAAGCTCGCACTGCTTCAATTCACACCCCGAAACTACATACGCAGTCCAGCAACCGACCGAGAAACGCTTCTCATAGGCCAGCATCTCCGGCCCTTCTCCCTAGGTACCCTACTCTGCTACCCGCGAAGCGCAACCTTGACATCCCCCGCGTCTGGAACACGACACATCCACCACCATGACAGACGCGCCAGAGAAACCGCAGGCCACAGCCACAGCTGCCACAGCCTCTGAAGACACCACCAAAGCTGCGCCCACTTCTCCAGCGCGGAGCGACAAGAGCAGCGACAGCGAAGGCAAGAATGTGAGGGAAAAGCTCA